TTAAAAAATATGTAATCAATATTCCTTTTTGCAAAATTTGTATTGGTATTATAAATTTGTTGTTATCAAATTATCTTTAATGTACAAGGAAAGTGGATGACACCAATAAGCAGTCTCCCACCTCCAAAATGTTAGTATTTAAATAAACATCAATCAGCTGCATGTGTGCAAGGGAGGTAATCATCTAGCTGGTGTTAAACATGAGCAAATGAAAATGCCCCAATGAAGGAAATTAAAAATGATAGCAAGATAGCCTAAGGCATATTTTAGCATGTGATTGGTCTGATGTTGCTTGTACATTACACAGGCAATGAAGAACAATACCAACATTGGCTTTTTAAAAATCTTTTCCTATGACCAAGTGGACAAGAAACTTGGTGAAAGAAAAGGTTTTAATGGAGAGAAATATGGAGGGAAGACAGAGGTGGAGAAAAGCTTTCCCACTCTCAGCAAATCTTTCTCTTGTGCACTACAAAGAACTAGCCACTTCTGAGCTTGGTGGGTTTGGTTCTTATATTGCTCGAGGCCATGGAAAAGGCAGACAGTTGGAGAAGGTCAACCACCTCCCACTGGGAAAGCATGAGAAGGGAACTAGAGGGGTCATAGTATGACAGACTACTATGAGTGTTGCTGTCACAGATAGGATATGATGGATAGGATATGATGGTGCCACTGTTAGGCTGTGGACTGTTAGGAGTTTGGGCAGTTTTAAGTCTTACAGAGAGAATATTTTAATGGACACAAAAAATGCTCTTTCTGAACTGGTGTTCATTTTTAAAAAGTAGTCCTTAAGAATACAAAAAGCAAACCACATGAAAGATGACAAGTTTCATGAAGTGTTTAAGATGCTCTTTGACAGTAATGAGTAGTTTGTAGGTTAATGAAGGAAAGTGGATGTGAACACATGTAGCATCCCTGAGTGCTTTTTGCACTGCTTCATCCTCAGTTAACAAGTGCTGTAAAGGGCTTTGCAAAATAGTCTCAGTGGAAAGTGTTGCTGCTATAGCCAGAGGTCTTAGAAACAAAACTCATCCAGCGTGTTAGAAATTCTGCCTGGTTACCCAGGCTTAAATCTGTACAACAAGCCGTGGACTTTAAGTGCCCTGTAAAAAATATATCGACTTTGATTTTCACATTTCAGCTCTGTAGCTTTCCAAAGGAATGGCAGATACTTCAGCCATTCCTAGTGTAAACATATGGTATGTCTGACACCTGAAATATTGAGCCATATCTGGAAAAATTGCTCCATTTGCTTTCTGTGGGTTGTGAAAGTTCTGTATGAAGGTAATGAAAAAAGATGTGAGGGACAGGAGAGAACAGTTTTTTGATCAAGACAAATTATTTCAATGAAATATTGGCTTATCTTGTGACAGAAGTGTGATAAATTTAGATCTCTTAATGCATTACTACAAAAACATGAGAACTTTGCAAGGGGAGGGTTGTAATGTTTGAGGAGCTATACATTTATTTACTGATATGAACCAGTGCAGACTTGCTTTATGCACATATATATATGTGACATATAAATATTTATTGCTTTCAGCCAGAGAATCACAACAATAGAGGAGGCTACATGGAACTGCTATACGCAGCTTTAAAGTGAAAAGATTGTTAGCCCTACATGTCATAGGAAGGAAGCTCAGCAAGAGGGAAATTAGTGTGAGATAGTAAGGCATCCACTTTTTCTCACTCATGTTACTGCTAGAAGATAGAGCAGTATCCAGGCAAGATCAGTGACAGTCTTGTGGAGATGTGTGGTTCAACTGGTTCAGCTAGCTCTTTACAGTCAGTCTATTTTGACATACTACCTCCTTGTCTGTCTCTTTAAAGCCACTCCAAAAATTGTTATTTTGGAATGACTTCTGAAAAAAGTAAGGAGGCATAAGAAACCTTTCAGTTATAGAAACGTGTAACACAGACAGTAGCAACAGGACTCAGTGTTCTTACACGCTCTCTGTACATCAGTACTTCCCACATTGAAGTACAAGAGGGCTTTGTAGGAGAAGAAAAAAAATTGAAAAAGAAAAAAAGAAGGCATGATAGAATAACGGAGTTTGATTTCCTGTGGATTTTGTGTCATTTTTGCTTGCAAGCTATCCCTGAAGCCTTTTCCTATTTCAGGGCATTTTGTAAGCACTGTTTTCCAAGTAGATTCTCTGTTGCCTAAAACAGACAGCTCTCTCTTCTTGGCCTGCCCCACTATGTGAGTCCTAAAGTGGTTTTCTGTCCTCCAGAATTCCCCCAGCTGTTGAACTGGATTTAACAATTATGTCATGAGGGTATACTAGTGTTAGCAGATGCATACATTTCTGAGTATATAAACAAATATATGTAAAGTGACCAGCTGTGTTTCCTATCCACTGGAAATCAGGCTAAAAAATAATTTCTTTTAACCTTCAAAATAATTTGTGATTTTTGTTTGAGGTGAGCAAAGGTTCTCACACTTCCTTTATACAAAACTTTTTATATATCTATTTATATCCCATAAGAAACTGCTGCTGCCAGTGATTAAAGGTGGCAAATAAAAAAGATGTCCTGCTCACTAACAGAAGAAATGTATTAGCATGCAGAAGGCAATGCTGCTACCTATGGGAGGTTTTAATCACGCCTTGTGTACTGATTGAGATGCAGTGTTCAAAGGTGAGAAAAATTATTAACAAAACCAAAAATCTGGAGCATTTTTCATGCAAACATTCATCAGTATATCTTATGTAATTACATAGCCAATAAATCAACATAGTCTGTAAGTGCTTCAGTCACGGTGTAAATATCTTAATGACTGAAACATCCTTACACATGAATAATTTATACCTGTATCATTCATTTTTCATAGCCATGCTTTACTTCAACATGATGAACTAATCCCTCTCTGTCAGGGAATGTGTGCTTGATTATTGCCCTCTGATTTCTCTTCCTTGTGTTTATTATCCACAGTTAGACACACTCCACTTCTTCTTTTCTGGTTCCTCTAATGTAGTTATCCTATTTATTCATCCTGTCGTTCTTCGTTTGCCTTCCCAGTGCATTTTAACAGGCACCTGGGAAATAATGGTGGGGCATAAGCTGATCGTGCATTTCTCAAATAATTCTATAGTGACATCTTGAAAGATTTATTCATTCTTGACAGATTATATTTGAATATATGGCTTCCCTCCCTCTCCTCAGTGCAATTGCTATGGAGCAGACCTGTGATGAGCAGTAACAACTTGAGCTTTATCATTTTCTGGATCCATCTGGAGTTCAAACTGTGTCACAGTACTCAACAGAAGCATCTTTAGTGACCTCTTCCCGTATGTTTGTAAATATGAGCTTATTTGCAGTTCCAGAAAATGCTGAAATATTCAAGAAGAAAAAAACTCTTCCTCAGCACAGGAATTGGGAATCCTTAAATTCTGTTCTGCTGCACGTGCTTATTTGGCTGTATGCACCCTGCCCAGCATAGGCACTAAATCAAAACATCTAAGACATCTGTTTGATTGCCATAAGGGTTCCTCCTTTAATTACTGGAGGAAGACAGGTAGCAGCTAAGGGCCGTTCACCCAGCTTTAAATCTATTAGTATCTGAAGCACCAGACAGTAATGCTTCTGGGTGGACTCTCTTTTGGGATCATAATTTAAGGTTTGGTTCAGATTTATAGAGAACCTTATTTTGGTGGTATCTGTGGAAGTTCAGCTTTTGTCAGTCCCAGCTGGGCTGCAAAATAAATAGCACAGAATTAATGGGTGCTTTGAAAAATACTGAGTCTTTCTTCCTAGCTCTCAAGTTTCTAACTGGAAAAAAAATGAGAGGATTGTAAAAACTGTCTGAAGCTGTGGGGGAAAACTGTGTTTTATAATTCTTAACCAGTGCTTTATTTGTATTGTATGTTGTTCCATCCAAGCACATTTTTCTTTTCATGTCTGTGTCCAGTTTACCTACATTACTCTCTAGCTGTGAAGAACACCTCACATGACTGTAAAAGTTTTCATTCCGTTTGTTGTATCATCATATATAGCTTGTTACATTTGTACAATATACAGCTTCAAAGTCTTACTCTTCTGTGACAGAATGACATTTTTGGACTAATTTTTTTAGGTTCAAGACTGCATGCAATACCTTGATCCGTATCTTTTGCATGCTCCAGCTGCAGCTTTTTTATAGAGAGATGTCACAGGTGTATATTTTCCTTGCATTCTTACAGCAGGCTCCAGTACACTGTGTATATGAATCCTACTGTTGTGTAGTAGAACATTTGGTAGCTTTACTCCAGCATGTCTCTACTTGTACATTTTCTTTTATTCTGATCATAAATATCTTCAGTCTTCTGATATCACTTACTTCTGTGATTTGCCTCAGTCTTTTTATATCCTTACAGGACCCCTTCACTTACTGTATGTAACTAAGGTCATTTGTTGATAGATGGGTATCAACTGGTAAGTACTATCAGGCAGTCTCCAGAATGTGCTTCACCCTTATCACTGAATGCCTCATTTCGGTATTTACGAGGCAGCCTGCTGTCTTCTTCCTTTGTTCTGTCTAGCTCTTGTCTCACTTGAGCATAGTTCTTCAACACAGTCATTAGTCTTGACTGTTGCTGCCTCTGTTTTTTCTGCTTTCTTTTTTCACTGTTTGGTCATCTACTTATTGGCGACCTGCTGGAAAGCAGTACTTTCACAGATTCACAGAATTCTAGGAAGGGACCTTTAGAGATCATCTAGTTCAATGTCCCTTGCCAAATCAGGCTCACTAGCCCAGGTTGCACAGGTAGGCATCCAGGTGGGTCTTGAACATCTCCGTAGAAGGCGACTTCACAGTCTCTCTGGGCAACCTGTTGCAGTGCTCCATTACCCTTACTTTATCCCCATGCCTAAACTGGGGACATTCCAGAATTTTTTTGTGTCATATTGTCTGATAAGAGAAATGGAATAGACAGAAATTTTATTTGGGGGGGAAAAAATATGAAAATGGCATAAAGACTACATTGGTATTGTACTGAATTTTTGTTGTCTAATTTTAACAGATTCAGTTTCAACAGCATCTGGACCACTGCTTGTTGAAGTTGCCAAAACTCCAGGTGCTGCTCTTGGGGTTGCACTGTCCACTTCGATGTGCTGCAACAAACAGGTCATTGTCATAGACAAAATCAAATCTGCAAGTATTGCAGACAGGTGAGTGTGACATAGAGCTAACATTGCAGATTCATGCATTCTTTTTTTTTTTTTTTTTTTTTTTCCTCCTGTTTTTGCTTTGATTGGTTTTGTTTTGAAGAAACTTGTCCTTATTTAGATCAATTTGACTGAGCCATATGCTATCAGGGTTGCTAGGTCTTAAAATTAGCACTTTGTCAGATCATTGTTCCATACTGCAGAGTTTAAGAATTCCAGGGCACCATTTACGTTAGCTTGTTCACATAGTTTTCAGTGATATAAGCCAGACCCAATGTAATACCTGGCTGTTGGTTGCTCTGTACAATACAGAAGTTTAGAGGTCTGTTCTGACTTAAATGTAATGCTGCAGCAGAAATTAATATTTTTAAAGAAATAAATACACCACTGGAATTCATAAAGTAAGCTCACAATATGGAACAGCTGTCAAGGGAAGTAAATTTTGAGGCTTTGCAACCTTGAAGTGTTCTTTTAGAATATACTATTTATTCTTGTGTTACAGTGAAATCGAACTTCTGTCTGGATTTTCTTATTAACATTTTAGAATACAATTGAGGTATTAGGAAGACTGGCTTCTGTATTTCAAAGTTATTTGGCTGTAATTTTTCAACTTCATTTAAACTCCATTCTTCTATGTTTAGCTCATATTGTACATAGAATCGAGGGGAAAAAAATGCAAGTATTTTTCCCTTGTGATCTAGAACTGTAGCAGAGCTGTGGGATATTTATGTGTGTGTGTGCGTGTGTGTGTGCGTGTGTTTTTACATATACAGTATGTTTCTATATACATACCTCTATCTAAAAATTCCCTAAATATTACGTTTCAGCAGCAAATTCCTCCTGCATGTTCCCAGTCACCCTACCTTGTAACACCTCTTTGACAGTGGTGCTTTGGGTAGCACCCACTTGTAGCAGTGAGTCTACAGCTCCTCTGTGGGCTTTTCCCTACAGTAGAAACTTTGAGAGTGACGGCCATTGATCCAGGGGTGTTCTCCAGTTCAATGGTGCAGGATGCTTTAATTTTCTCCCTCTGTTTTTTCCCATTTCGCAGGGGGTAACCAATTAAAGGAGCTGTCCACTTGACTGGTACGTCGGGATGCTGACTGCTGTGTTTGCATTTCTCAACTCATCCAGTAGCCAGTCTCTTGAGTGCAGCGAGATTTAGCAGATAGCCCCCTCCCCACCCAACTCCTTAAGTCACCATGCTAGCCCTGGTTTCATTATTTGTTTGACTACTGCATAATTTCATCATCATTTACAGCTTTTGTACTAATAAATGTTTGAACTATAACTCAAAAAAATGATGAACTGGGTGCTTGTGTGAGGGATATGTGACCAAGTTATTTGAGTCTCCTTAAGTTCTTCTCATTTATTCTGCCGCCATTTGCATATATTTTAGTAGTCAGCTACCCCATTGCAGTTCTGTGAGTGATGTCTTGGCATATGCTGTATTAACTGAATTGTTTTTAAGGTTTGTACTAATAGATATAAAGTCTCACCAGTGACAATGCCTACAAAACACAAATCTCTCTCGAAAAAGAAAGAAAACGCTCATAGTTGTCATGACCAGTTTGAAGGCAGTAAAACTCATTTTCCCACCAGAGAGCATACCTGATCATACTGAGTTTTTCCCCTTTTGTATAGATGTGGTGCATTACACGTAGGAGACCATATTCTGTCCATTGATGGCACCAGCATGGAGTACTGTACTCTGGCAGAAGCAACGCAGTTTCTTGCTAATGCAGCGGATAATGTGAAACTTGAGATCCTTCCTCACCACCAGACACGGCTAGCACTGAAAGGCCCAGAGCATGGTAAGAGAATCTGTAACACCAAATTCCACTTTATTTTCCTGTCTTTTACTTTGCCTGCACTTGCTGTATGGCCAAGAAAGCTATGATGGCAATTGTGTCTGTAGTGTTGCTTCATCTCCCCAGGTTATGCTTCTGCAGTTTCTGAGCAGCTCTGTGTTTTCTGTGTTAATGTATCCTCTGAGTTCCTACAGATAGAGAAGGAAATGTTTTACTGATAAATGGTTCTGCACACTTGTAAATGTGCATACAGACACCTGTTGACTCTACTGTTGTAATAACTAGGCGCTTCAGTGAATGATTCTCTGAGTTGATTCTTCAAATTAGAGAAGGGAGGGACACTGATTGATTTCTTTTCAGCATACTGAATTCATAATTTGTTATAACCTCTTCAGTAATAGACTTGTTCTCCTTTGAAATACTTCAAAAGTAATTATTTTCTCTTGCTGTTGGAATATTATTTATTGTCATCATCTTTTAAAAATACTTCTGAGGTTACTTCATGGGTGCATTAGTTCTTATGAAAAAGATTTGTTTGGGAACAGTTCCCGAGATCCCAGACCTTTTTCACCATGTTGCCTATTTCATAACAACACACTTAAAGAGAATAACTTTCCATTTTCAAATCAGATATGTATATAATGTATTAGAGTTGGAAGTTTGAAAATGGGAGCTACCTGTCTTGTCTTCTAACTAATCCTGAAAAAGTGGATAATTCACAGTATTCATAAGTTCACAGTAAAATATCAGAATAATGGATGTCAAAGAAGTAACAAAGGTTATCAAATACACAGAGAATAGGTACCTGTGTTAGAGCATGAGTAAGTGGTAGCAGTTTCTGAGCCTTTAATACTGTGCCTCTGCCTCCTCTAGACCAACACAAGATTTCTGAGGCCTAGAAATTTTAGTGTTGATAAACATTTTTGGACATCTATCTACTATCCAGGCTGTCCCTGGAAAAACAATGCTCTAGTCGGTTTGTCAGTGGTGGATACTGAGCTATTGTTGAGGAGATTCTAGTTTGTCCTAGGATGAACAAAAAAGTAACCCTTGCAATACCATGTTATTCCATTAGTTAACTGCACCTCTTTTCCCTTTTCAGTTAGGCTCCTGTGAGGAAGCAGGGAGTGAAACTGCAGAATACAGAGAACAGATTTTGTGATATAGTTCCTTTTCACTTTTGACAGTATGCTACAAACAGATCCTCCCTTTTTTATAGCAAAGACACCACACATTCAAACTTGAGCTAGTTAAAAAAACATTTTAATAGGGTTTCTTTGGGGAAGATGAGTTCCAGGGCCAAAGATTTGTTTAGCTGACTGTATTTCTTGAAGCCTTTGCTTCTTAGCAAAAATTTAAAGTGTTGCTGTTAATCTGCTAGTTGTCTTCAACTAATGAGGATGCTTGATAAAACAATGCTCTTGCCAGACTTGTAAACTGTTAAAAATATCAAATCAAGGGGGTCTGCAAAGATGACATAAGTGTATCTTTTGGGGAAAAATCTCCCTACAGTAATAAAAGTGCTTTCTTAAGTAAGCTGACATAACTAGAATTTTTACAGCCCTTTCCAGCCCCTCACCAGGTGGTGCTGCTCCAATATCACAACAATTTCAGAAGGCAATATGGTTTATGGAAGCAAGAATACTTTTGGAAACAACCTTTCATCAGGTGTGGTATGGCCTAGATGCTGCAGAATTTGAAAAGCTCCCTTTATGTGTTTGGGATAAGCTGAGTCATTAAGGCTGTATCTGTTGAGCTCAGTTATTGGACTTCTGGGAACATGTTAGGAATTTAAAATGGGCAGGGAAGTCAGTATATAAAATAAATTGAAATTTTAGCCCTAAAATAAAATGGAGAACACTATAAAATATCAGATTTTTTTTGTGTGTTTTTTTTTTCCCTTTCCACTGTGCTGCTAATATTCATTTCTCTTGCTGCCCCATTAGTTTTATGTTGGCTGCATACAGCCCTGGTTTAGAATGGCTCAAATTACTACTAAATTACTACTGTTACACAAGATAGGATTTCCTTTTACAGAACGTTTGTTGAGCTGGGATTATCCTTCTACAAGCTGAGCAAACTGAATTTGTGTACCTGACTGCTTTGTAGGACATTTTTATCTCTATTCTCAGTATGAAAATAAAACATGAAAAAAATCAAAGACTACCAGATGACTTCCTGCTGGAAGCAGTCTTTTTAATTAAACAAGGCTCGCAGCAACTTGAAAATAATGAAAATCCACCTGGCCACGTTGTTCTTATCAGATTTTAATTTTTATACCATAGTTAAATCCAGAAATCTTGATGCCTGTGTGCATAATCAGAGAGATATTTTCATTTGAGAAGATACAATAAGCCTGTAAGATACACAGTGCCTCAGCAGGCTACTGCCTCTGTTTCTGGGATTTTTTCTTGTTTGATGTGTGAGATTTCCTGAAGTCTTTGAGGGTGAGGCACTCAGAGGGGCAGGCTGGCCGGTGTATGCCACACGTGTCTCATACATCCCTTCCTCTAGGGACACCCTCACCTCATTTGTTACCTGTTGAGGAAAATAAATATTACAACATTTGTTCCTTTGGTTCAAGCACATATCAGAGCAGCTTCAGGAGGGTGGGGCAGGGGGTACCCTCAGGGAGGGATGCAGGCCATGTTATGCCAGGGCCCATGGAACCCCAGGCATGAAGCCACAAAGATGGAGTGGGCCCCTGTGCTCTCCTTTCGCTCGTGTACTCTAGTGTTGTGTCAGGCCTGGTTTTTTAGTCAGCAAATGGTTAATATATTCTGATCGTTAACAAAGCATTGCTCCTGCAGTATGAAGTGAAACAAAAGTATAGCTTTCCTTCTGGCACTGTGTGGTGCTTGCTGCAGCAGCTTCCATTTTCCCCTGACTGTGTCATGGAGCAAGACGTGAACACAAAGTGGCTCCAGCATAAACTGACAGACTTCAGGCAACTGTTAAAGTCTGGCATGGGGTTGCTGTGTGCCTGCAGCCTTATAGATGATACAGCTGGTGGGCCGAAGGCGATAGCTTAGATTTCTCCATATGGGCGTACCTCTCTTCAAATTTTTTTTTTTTTTAAGACAAAAATTCAGTGAGCAGTTTGCAGTTCGAAGTGCTCCACTGTAATTCAGCAAGGACACAACTACATCGAGTTGAATAATGACTAGACTGTATTTAATGAAGGAGAGTTTCAGTCATTTTCTTTTAATATTTGACACATCAGCTGAAATACTTCCTGTCCTCTTGGTAAATACTGGCCTTCATCGTTGGCATATGGACTCTCCATATTTAGAATCAGCAATCAAACTCTGTCGAATCAAAACTTGTTTTTATCCAGAAAAACATATTTTAAAGTTTCAAAGACTAAGTTAAAAGAAAAAATTACACATCCAAATAATAAATAAGAGCTCTAGATTTTTGTTTTCTTTTTTTAATGAGGCTTCAGGATACCATTTTTGTGCTGCTGGGCCAAGGAAGTTGTTTGTGGCATAGAGTAGTCTAATGCCAACAGTATATGCCGTCAAAATTAAAATGCCGGTGCAGTAAAAAGACTGTCACATAGTGTGTGTATGGTATCTGAATATAGAGATTTACTAATCTCCAGTTAGTGATCATATATGATACTTCAGTATTTTCTAAAGAAATTTGCAGCTTTAGCTCCTAAAGCCAGAAGGAAATTAGAAACTAATTCCATACTAATCTTTTAAAAAATGAATACAAGCAAACAAGCAAACAATCAGAAGTATTTATTCTTAGAAGATACATTATTTTTGTTCCCCAAGATAGCACCTCCTGGTAAGAAGACAAGACCAGGTTATTATTAAGTATTTCATTTATTTTATTTTCAATTCATTTTCATTTGGGGACTTTTTTGTTTGTTTATATAATTCAGTTACCTTTCCCTCTTCTCTGGTCCTTTTGTTTTCTGATTTTCCATCATCCCTTCATGTGGGCAGTGAAGGTTCAAAGAAGCAACAGGCAACATACCTGGGATTCGTGTGCCAACAGCCACAGCAGTCTTCTCACCTACCACCATTATAACACCTACCACCCTGACCATTGCAGGATGCCAGCATTGAAATTCCAGAAAACGTCTCCTCAAAAAAGCCTTCGTAATGTTCCACTCCTTTTCCTGCTGATGTAGTCTCTCCTCTTCTTCTTCCTCCTTTCCCTCTTCTTTTACTCATAGTTTTCTCATTTCAGGCACTAAAATCTTTTCAGTCTTATGGATGCTACACTTTTTCATAGCCATGCTAAGGTTATTTCTGACATTTTATGCCTTTTCTTTTCTGTAACAAGACAGCCTTTGTAGGCAGGAAAAGGCTTGACAATTCTCGATGAACTCATTCTTCTGCTCCATGAGTAGACTATTAGGTTTGTGTAGTGTATATAAAATGCAATATTTGCATGCAAAACATAGCTTACAAATCTTTTGTCAGAAATTACCTACTACAAAAAGACATTTCTAACATCAGTATATCTAGATCTAGTAGTCTGCATCAATTCATGGATATGTGTTGAAAATTTTGATTTAACATACTTCTCCTGAAGAAAGATGTGTATTATGAATGTAATTTCTGTATCTACAGTATCTTTGTTAGCTTTCAGCAGGTATTTTCATTATATGCTAGCTGTACTTCTATCCAGGGTCACTTATGCAGTTTAATGTTTTTGTTATCAGAAATACACAAGCCATTCCTGTGCATCATACACATTGTTTGATTCATTGATGAGTTACAGGCATGTGCCGCACTCTTCTGTGAAGGCTGAGTGCTGTTTGCCAAGTGTTTGATTTCTTACAGCAGCTTTGGTGTCTTCATCCTTCTCTCCTACCTCCATGAGTGCATACAGCCTGAGTTCCCTGAACATGGGGACCTTACCTCGCAGCCTCTACTCCACCAGCCCACGTGGGACAATGATGAGGCGGAGGATGAAAAAGAAGGACTTCAAAAGCTCCTGTAGGTGGTAACAGCAACTGCTCAAAATGTGCAATAATGGGTGGAGGAGGGGGAAGATACAGAAGAAAGGTACAAAGTACTTTAATTAATTTATGTTAGGCAGAAAAGAGAACAATTGGTGTTTCTTTTAGATGTGGGGAAAAGACAGCGTAAAAATATTTTTCCAAAGCTAAAATGTGATAAGTAGAGGCCATATGGCTGCACTATCTCATCTGGAATACGTAAAGCAATACTTCCTTCAGTCAATCCTGCAATGGTTTGTCATGATGTTACTGAAGCGATTTTCAAATTCCTTTTTCAAATCTTCCCGTTTTCATTGGGGAATAAAATTTATAGCTGAACAGTCAAAAAGAGATTGCTGGTAAGTTCAGCTATCATATTACAAAATGAGAAGAGCTTGCCACTGTACCTTATTGGTAGTTCTGATGTTATCGTCTACACCATATCAGGTACAATCATTTTTGTGAGAAAGAGTGACAAATAACAGTGAAAACTAAATAATTGTCTCTGGCCACTGTCTGAAATTCAAAGCATGAATTTCCCATGAGTCAGTAATCTCCCAAGCCAGAATGAATATATTTCAGTCTGTTCCACTTGGTATATTGGAAGTATGCACTGGGCCAAGAGCGCAGCTGTATAAATGCGCGGTTTCCCAGGCTCCATGTAAGAGTCATCTCTCCTTTTGCTTATGTGTCAACCTGTGACCTTCAGCATCAACATCAGCTCAGTTTTCTTCAGAACAAGGAAATGCAAAATGCTGTGTAATCATTTGATGCATCTAATAATGCTCACAGATCCACTCTGGAAAAACTGAACTTCTGCACATTACACTGCTGCTGCCCTGTACTAAAGATTTCCGATGGTCATAGCAAAATCAGAGCAGAACAGCAGTCTCCAAACAAGCCCAGGCACTATGGAAGTGAGAGGAAGAGTTTGAGAGAGGAACATTTGCATTCTTGCATTTTTTTGTTGTTTGCTTGTTCTTACTTCTTTTGTAAAGCAAATATTTTTTGCATAACTTTACATTTATGTGCATTTTTTATTTTATTCTGATTCGCCATTTGTCACAACTCATTTGTTGACATGATAGCTTCTAATGCATCCTTTGATGTTATAGGGAGATAGCCCGTCCATCCGTTCTATGAAATCAGTAGAAATCCAGCTCTTACGTGCCCTCACATGAGAAACAGCAGTAGTTTTACACTTACCCTAACATATTTGAATAATAAAATAATGCTGGATGCAAAATACAGTTCTTAGCCTGTGCTCTATTCTAACAGTTGCCTACAACAAGGGGCTGTTAATCCTTTTTTAATTTTAATATCAGGCATCTTGGAGACAGCTGTTACTTATGTTGCTGGATTTTTCAGATATTTTTCATTCAGTACTCTGCAATTTATTGCCCTGCAAAGGCTCAAAGCAAGGCCAATAACATTAGATTAAAATGAGACAGTCATATAAGCACTGCAGCCCACCTCAGATGTTCCTAAGGTTAGAAGTCTCTTGAGATGAGAGTATGCAATGATTAAACAAGTCTCTAGCTAGCACATTTTAGAGTAGGCTTTTTTGTGGTTTATTCTGCATCTGCCTGACCAGGAGATCTGAATTTGCAGTGTTGAGAAATACGTGGAATTAGCCTAGTCACTGGATGGGCAGAGTCTGACTATGCTTCACTGTAAGCAGTGATTCCCTTAACAAGCCTGAATCAGAGATAACTTAAGAGGAACTGGCTGGCCACCCAGGCTTGCTTGCCCTGTCTGTGAGCTTGCTTTTCAGCCCACGTGGAATTCCTTACTGCTATTGCTAGACTTCTGCCTGTACTTGTGACTGCAATAACAACCAGCTTAAGAGATGCTCAGTGGACTAAATGTGCTACAAGTGACCATGACAGAGAAAGATTGATCCTGTGCCTTTCCATCACCTATCAACAAGACTTGGCAAACCTTACTCCTCTCTCTTTGTGGGAGACTCATGAGAGCCAGGTAGCACTGACTGCTGTCCTTTTCATAGAAAAGGAATAGCACGTTCTCTTAATTTTAGTGATCCTTTTGTTGTTGTTAAAAATTCGAGGGTTTTTTTAAGGTAAGAATAAATCTTTTTGGATGGCATTTGGGAAGAAAAGGATGTACTGATGAAGAGTGCTGTAAAGTTTACATTGCCAATTATTTAGGAAAAGCTGCATAAATTAATGTGATCATTCCAAAATTTATGATGACGAAGCATGATGGTACAGAAGGCTTACAGCACTTTTATGGCCAGGAGTTGCAGTCATTGCATTAGTTATGCAGATCTTTCCAACTGTGTGGCTGTATAAATTGAAGGCATGCCCTGCTGTCATGTGCTTTATTTGTGCCACTTGTTTCCCATCTTTATTCTTCCTCTACTTTTTTGATTTTAAATGGTACTCATTGTAAAAATGCTTAAACTATTATTTGGTTAAAGTTTAAATCCTGACATGTTTGTAATAGTACTCGAAAGTCAGACATAAATTTATACCAACTTACTTGATAGTTACTAGGAATGTATATTTCTCAGCACTTCTAAGCCAACTGCTAGCAGGAGGAACAAGGAACAATTTCTGTTTTCCAAGGCTCAGAGTGGGACACTGTATACTTACTTACCTTTGATAATATCTTGTTTTGCTTCTCTTACAGCTGCAGGAATAAAAGTAACAAGTACATAGCCTTCACATTCAAGAATATGATTTACATACTCTATAGATATAGGAAACCAGCCCATGTAATTGTCGCTAAGAATCAGATTTAAAAAAAAAGCGTGCTAAAATGTACCCTCTCTCACTAACAAACAGGTTCACTGTAGCCACTTACCCATTCATACACCATTTTTAAAGCACAGGGATTCCTGGCAAAGGCCGCTCCTTGGTGATTGAAGTTTCACATGCATTAAAAAATAGGCAATGTTTCTTGCTGCAGTCATTGTTGAATTACAAATTCCAGTGAGTTTTAAGTCACGGTTTTGGGTATCTGTGACGTTTTATAGAGAGTTGGCAGATGATAGCTTTTGTTACGTGATTTGGAAAGAGTATTTTCATCTCTGCTGTTCTTATTACTTTTTCTTTGGAAGTGGGAGGAGTTCCTAATGGTAACTTGCAAGCTTCCTCGTCATCAAAATATTTGTCGGGGTGAGTTTTAAATTCCACAAGTATTAACTTAATTTCACAATTTAATTTAGAACAACTGTCCTGAAAGTTTCAATAAAAGTTACGAGATCTTTAAGTTCCTGGTAGAGCACTAGAAAAAGAGCAAAAAAGTTAGCTTTATCTATATACCTGTTGCAGAGGAGAAATGGACACATAAGTGAGAGGAAACAAAGATTCAGCTAACAAGGAATTCTTGTATGATCTTAAAGACATGGAGAGTGGAACTTTCTGGACTTGAATGCCCTAAATTTTGATATTTCTGGAAGATGGGTTACCTATTATTATTAACTCTCAATTAATCTATTCCAGTCATATCTTAGCCATTGCAGTGTTGAGAACTTGATAAACTTAGTTTTCAAATGCAGAGAATGCTAAACCTAATGGCCATGTCTAAGAATAGATTATTTTCTTTTGGATATGAGTATATCTTACTCAGTGTAGATGAAGGAAAAAGTAAGAAGAAAGCTATTGACTGAGAAGAATAATGCAGTATTCTTACCAAGGAAAAATAATATAAAAAGTGTAAGAATTCACAGTAATTTATTAAGGAAAAGATGATTGGTTTCAAAGTCAGTTGTATTAATGAAAGCAGCTTTACTGGGAGAAAATTGAAACTCATGAGATTTTGCAAAGTGAAACTTCTGGAGTCATCATTGCTGACTGTGCCACATTAGTCAGACTTGGTACTATTTCAGAGTGAGTCCAATACTTGTAGTCCCAAATAAATACTCACAGAACCTTGGTAATCTTTGTATAATTCTGCTAGTATTATCTATAATGTAAAAACGAGGACAATTTTTCTTCCATACCTAAAAAAAAAACCCCACATTTAAAAACAAACAAACAAACAACTACAACAAAAAAAACCAGAAACGTGAGCTTTTATGTAATTCTTGGTAACTAATGTAGGCAATGGTGGGTCTTGAGGAACTTTAGAGAGGTGATAGCATAGATTCATAACATGAGAAGGTTAAATAACTTCTTCAGGAATGGAAGAAAATCTAACTTTTTATGTATGGTGTATTGAAAAGACAGTATTCTGTCACGGGAGGAATTGAAACAGTGATTCAAACAAGACCTTTTTTAGGGATAGGCAAAAAAAAAACAAAAATGATTTTATTTCATATATAATTGCATTGAATCTCAATTTTATTTGGATTTATTCTGTAATACTTCCTATTCAGAATGAGAATAGAAAAAGGGACTATATAAGGAGTACAGGAATCTTGAAAATACACAAGTAGATGCCCATGTTTTTCAGAGAAGGGTTCCCCAGTTCCTTTGAGAGATCCAATAGAAGTTTGGTTTTTTTTTTTCTCACCATCTCTTTAGAATTACAGGCTGCTAAAACAGAGAGGCTGGTTCAACTTAGATTACCCAGTTAGCCTGGCATATTGCTGACATGTAGTAAGCATGTATAAGTTGATGTGTACAAGAAAGTGTACAAGAAAAAGGAATTCTTTCTTGTAAGCAAGATTGGAGTGTGTGCCTTGTTGCTAAAAACATTGCATTGCTGTGAGATGTTCAAAAGAGCTCATGGAAATCAAACTAAATAACAGCTGGGGTTATGCCTTCAAATCCTTTAGCTATTGCGGAAACTCCACTCATCCATGGCTCAAACTTAATGCAACCAGAGTTCAGGGGTGTTATGAGATTTTTGAGTGGGGATGTCAAACAAATGTATTTTGCTCAGTGCATAAACTATCTTTTTGCATTGTAACATATAACCAGATGTTTTCTATTCTTTTTTAAGTTGTAACTGTTTATATGTCATTTATAAACCATAGCCTAAATTGAATTTAAAAGAGATTTTGTTGACTAGGTTTATTGTACAGATCAAGTTTTTTCAAAGAGCAGTGAAATTTCTGCTGTGTTTGAATGTCTTTCCTCCTGGTCTGCTCTGTTTTGTAGTGTCTTTAGCCTCTAGCACTGTTGGTTTGGCTGGGCAGGTCGTCCACACAGAAACCACAGAAGTAGTGCTGACAGCTGACCCCGTAGTAGGGTTTGGAATACAGCTCCAGGGTAGCGTGTTTGCTACTGAGACCTTGTCTTCTCCTCCTCTCATTTCCTATATCGAGTCTGACAGTCCAGCAGAAAGGTGAGGTTCTTTTAGATGACTGCTAAGTGCATTTTGGTGAGCATTCCTTGGGGTGGTTTGGGCTTGTTACTTTCAATTTGTAAGAAACTGCAAGGCCTTACTCAATGGAAGAGCGATAAGTAACGATCTGTCTGTTCTGACAGTGATATTTCATATGCTTGATCAGCCATAAGAAGAATGACAAGCATCAGTGCTTTTATTGTCCAGAGGAGTCCTCCAGCAGGAAACTGGAAGCTGTATTCATTCAAAAGCTAAACAGATATTAAAAGACAAATAAAAACAATTCAGTGTGCAATGAGGAGAAGCCATATCCCATTCTGTTAAGTTTTGGTACCTAACAAAATCTGAGAAAATACCAGAATTCTGACTTAGTAATTACTTCCTTGCAACATTTCAATTGTATTTTTATGTATGTTGTTAATCATTCCACGAGATCATGCAGAACAATAGGAGTTCCATAAGCAGCTCTGAGCCACCGTGGCACAGTTGCAACACCTGCAGCCTAGGGGCAAAGCCAGAGCTGATGTCCATGGGTGGAGTGGAGGCACCAAGCTGTGCCCATCCTCCTGGTTCCTGACACCTAAAGAGCACAGCCCGTGTTGGTGGTGCTGATAGTGTCATGATGCAGAGGGGCATTGGCAGCTGGTGTCATCTCCCAGTGCCTGGGCAGACTGTGGTGCTGCTCTGCCACCTCTTCTTTAAGGTTAGGCTGAGTGTGTCTGCTATTTCTGGTTCTGGTAACACGCACATCTGATGATTGTTTTGTGTCATTGTGTACCAAGATGTGGGGTCCTGCAAATTGGAGACAGAATAGTGGCAATAAATGGTATCCCAACAGAAGACAGCACTTTTGATGAGGCCAATCAACTGCTCAGAGACTCCTCCATCACCAACAAGGTCACTTTGGAAATAGAATTTGATGTTGCAGGTATGAATGTACTGTTATTCTGTCTTGCAAGAAAAGCATGGGAATAAATCCCAAGTATACTGCAAGTGTTAGGAATCAAAGATGGGGACTTTCTTCTCAAACACACCACTAAGTTTTCAAGTGAGCTATTTGAAACGTGTCTTTTTGTGCAGCTTTCTCATTCCACGTAGCCCTGCAACATACTTCAGAACACAAATAGAAATGACAAGTCCTTAGAAAGATCTGATGACAGTCTCTTCTCTGAGTTATTTCCAGACCTATTTCTGCCCTGAGGTAGAAATATTCTGCTTTGCTAAGACAGGCCAGCTAATGAAATGTGTTACTAGACAATGTGTTACTAGTATTATAACAGGATGGGTAAGCAGAAAGTCCTGGAGAGTTTCACTTAACACTATCTTAAATCAACAACCTAATTAAAACTGTAGAAATTGCATTAGTAAAAGCTAGAAAAGTCATTGTTAATACTACTGGTGAACCTTTAGTATTACTTATGTCTTTCCTTTCTTTTATAATATGTTTAAGCATACAGAATATGCCTATGTAACCATAAATTGTGTAAATCAAGCAAGCACCTTAATCTATGTGCATTATACCACTATGTAAATAGTAAAAACTTTAAGACTTGTGTGCTTGTCTGACAGTAGCTCCTTTGAAGTCATGACAGTGTTGGATGTGCTGTATTTTCCATAGTATAGTTATTGTTAATGGTACTATAAATCATGATGTCAAAAGCAGGTTAAATGTTCTTACTGCAATTCTTTGTGATCTTTTAGTATGTATATATTTAGTATACTATAAAAAAAAAAAGGCCAAATACAACACGTGCTTCTGTATACATAGGAATTGGAATATTAAAAAGTAAGAAAACAAAATAACAAAAAAAATGACATTTAAGTACACCTGAAGTCACAGGTACATTAAAGTTTGTGTTTCAGTTCCCAGACTTCAGTTCTTCCCATCTGTTCCATAACAGACTGATGATTAGACTCTCTTGCAACGTGTGTTTATATACCTACATACATACATATAATTTTAATTACCTCCTTTTCAAGCCAGGGCCCAGACGTTTAGAAGCAGTAATGCAGAAAGTCAGAGTTCAAATGCAATGCTGTGTGGGGCTTTTTTTGCCTCTGTCAGCTTCAGATGATTCTTCTCTTCAGATGTTTTCATCTCTTTCTTCCCAGTGGATGTAAAATCCATGGCAGTTGCCTTAGCAAACAGTTAAAAATAGATTATGCAGCAACAAAGAACTGAAATTCTTAAGACTTGATCTCCCTTCCTTCTAATTAAAATCTGTCTTCCAGTCCTAAAATTTTCATGTACACTCACAAAAATTGCATACCAGCTAAAATCATGCAGTCTCAGCTGACTGCTGGTCTGTGCAATCTCCATAAATTCAGTTAAACCTTAGGAAAATAAATTGAGTTACTGTGAAATTACCAATAGAGGTATAAATCATACTTTGTATGTCCTACTTCCTTCACTTCAGCACCCGTATTTCCTGCTGACTCGTAATGCTGATGTGATTTCATTAACTTACATGTATCATTCCATGAAATGAGAATTGCTGTGTCTTATAAATTATTTAACATTTAAAGTTGTTTTTTGTTATTTATTTATTTTTTTTACAGAATCAGTTATACCAAGCAGTGGAACATTTCATGTAAAACTACCAAAGAAGCATAATGTGGAACTTGGCATCACCATCAGTTGTAAGTGACAGTGCTTGCCTTTAAGACCACAGTGATGGAATAATATGCAGACAGTAGATCCTTATAGATTTATGGATAGCTATAAGCTCATGCTTGTTTTGGTAAAAAACTTATTTTTTCTTTTCCTAGTGAGGTGGTTAGCAGTTCTATGTCTCAGATGAAATATTATCTTATAACAGATTTGTATCCTCTCCAACATTTAAAGAGGCCATACATTTGCTAGACCTAAGGCTTGATCTATTCCTTCCTCCTATATGTGTAGCATATATTTAACTCTCATTAAAGTAAAATAAATTAAAAAATGTCAGTAGAATTAGATAAATTAAGTATGTGCAGAAGAGAACTGCACAGAACTGTACCAGGGGACATTCAGACTGAATAGTAGGGAAAATTTATTTGCAGTACAGTGGTCAGGCACTGGAACAGGTTTCCCAGTGAAGAGGGCTGGATGTGGGTGAGCAGTAAGGTGAGTGAAAAGAAGCAGATGTGACAAGGAGTTGTTAAGCAGGGGAAAGAAAGTAATGTCAGGAAGATAGATGAATAGTCATGCATGAGGCTTCTCATTCTCTGACATAGGCAAGGAAAGAAACAACTATGTAAAATGGATCTGATGTGGACTGTGAGCAGACTGACTAATTATGCAAGGGACTGGAGCTCTTCCCAGGACTAGACCACAGGGTTCCTAATTTGCAGTGTTTTCTAGTAACAGCACATTTATCTTCTTCCATCCTGTCCTCTTCCACATGTAATTCTGCACTTGGATCTCAATTTTTTTATGCCTGCTTTTGGTCTTTACAAGTGCAGGTTTGATAATGTTTGATGTTTGATAGAGATTGTTTTTAAATGCTTTCTAAAATCAAAAGTAACTCTGAAATGAAACAAAACTAGAGGCTTAAGGTCATATAGTGTTGCTTCAAACATCTTGTGTTAATTCATGAGGATACCTTTCTTAATTCAGTGGTCAAATATTGCTTTCTCGTTCTTCCTTCTCCACTCTCTGGGGAGAAATGAAACTGTTGCATAGCAAAGGGGATGAAGGCTGCATAATGAATGAGGAGGAGACGGCAAAAAGCAAAAGGAGGTGATCTCACGGTCAAGAAAGTTTCATGCTACCCTTGAGAAATTATTTTTTTTCCTTTTCCTTGTGATAGAATTGTGCTGTGAGGCTAGTCATTTCACAGGGAAAAAGAAAAAGAGAGAGGAAGAAAAAAGACATTTTCCACATGGGACTACTTGATTTTCTGGAGAAACATTGGAGAACCTGGAGTCACTCTTGAAAAAATGCTGGGCATTTACATCTGTTGCTGAAAATGTCAGCAGTTGGGCTTTGGACATAGAAACTGTTACATAATACAAACTATTGTAAGAAATTAGGGCATGGATATCTCAAATTGCTCACTGAAAAATAGTCATACTTTCACTTAAAATTTGTTGTGCTTCCTTATCTATAAAATGAGGGAAACAGTACTCAGTCTTCTTGCAGGGGACAGTCTATTTGCTATGTTTGGGAAGCAGTCTTAGGCAGCAGTGATGTGCAGTACAAAAGTTAAGGAGGCAACTGAAGATCTTATCTGTGCAACAGAACTTAAATAGTTTGTACTAAGTCTGTCATGAACATTGAACTACCAGAACAAACCTACAAAGTGTGATGTAACTGCTTATTAAGGGCTTGTCAGTGTAGGGGAATTCATTTCACACCAAGCTGTGTTTGCTTCCTGCAAAAGGACTTTCATCCACCAAACAACAGTACAGGGTAAATGACAAAATGCAGCTGATTCAGGCTGCTTCACTTTGAAACTTTAATAAGTTTGTGTACAACATCTTATCCTTTGTCTCCATATGTACTCTGTGGATTCACATTTTGAGTGTTCTCTCTGCCCTTTTTTGATTTTTTTCTCTCTTCTTTTTGGAACAATAAAGGACTGTTTTCTTTAGTACTGATAATTTTTGAAATCAGTTTAATAAAAAGTGTCTCAGCACACAAATCTCAAAGAACAAGCATTATACTTGCACGTGACCTCAGAGATTTATGAAACAACACAGAAGGTAAAACATTGCATTAAAAAAAGTTCACTAAAGAGACACTTCAGAATTTTGACAAGACACCAACTGGGAGACACCACTGGGAGGCTTTCCCAAGGTATTCAAGTAAATCATAGAACTGTCATATAAGACATATCTGACCTCTGGCATGCAAGTGTGAGAAACAAGCTATGAAAGTCAGATATCTTGCAAAAAGTTAACTGCTGTTCTCAAATTGGAACACTTTCCTGAAAGCCTGCTGTTTTAGAGAAGTTTCTAAAAGATCTTGAAATTCTTCAGACTTCTGTCTTCTGGACTTTCAAGATGCTACATATGAAATATGGCACATCACCAGTACTTAAACAATTCTTGTGGACATTCAGAAGCTTTCTCAACCAGGGCAGCCAAGGTTAACAAGATCTCTTAGAGCACTATGTTGGAAATGTCTTTATTAATACACCTTATGATTGCTGTAGAAGTGGATCTGTTTTCTACCAAAGAGAAGAATCATGAGTCAGGCTGTGGACTGTTCCCTCACCCCAGCAGCTGTAGGTGGTGTACATCCTGACAGGTGACACACCGTTCTGTAAGAACATACCTTTCACCATTCTCAATTTCTAATCCCACTGCTTGCCTTATCAGATATTCAGTGCAGTCCTCTTCTATCAGCAAATGCATTGACTCTCCAAAACAATGCATTCACTGAAGCTGTGCCAAGAATAAGTCCTCTGGATGCAGTCAGTCATTGTTCTTTTCTTCCTCTGGGGTAGATAACCCAAAGATCCAAAAGTCAGATGAAATTGCTAAGCTGCACTGTGAATAGCTAGCAGAACTTGCCAAGGGAAACCTGGCAAATGCTTTCGCACAAGTAGTTAAAGAATGGCAGTGACTGGCATTGTAGAGCAGAGCATCATTTTAATAATGATGGACAGTCAGCAGATAGAGAATAACATCAGATACTTCTAAGAAAAGATGAGATACTAACTTGAATATTACGGGAGTTGCAGTGGTTTTATTCACTGTCCAAAGTGGGCAGAAGTGTGCAATGTTTAAGACTCAGCAGAAGCACAGAGGAGAAATGTTACTCAACAAAAGGGCCACGTTTATTTCAGAAGAAACAATGAGTCGTCGTGAAGCAAGCATCCACATGGTGTCAGCTATATCTGTGTGGATGTGGTGACTGTCATCAGTGTGGCAGTTATCCACAGTATCTGATTCACTGAAAAGTAGATTGTTCCTTTCTCACCCAGGCAGCACCCTCTGCTTTTTTTCATGCCTCTGCTTTAAACACTGAATGAGATAAGAGCAGACGTAAAGAATGTGGTATAGCCCACCCTAGAAATTTTGCCAGAACAGCTCTGTTTGGGATCTGCTGACACCAGTCTTCCCTTGTGTGTTGGAGCTACTTTATGAAGTATCACGTAGCTGTGCCATGGTATCTTCACATGGTTGAGTCCTGGCCTAGTCCAGAATTCAGACATACCAGATTAAATTCTCTTTGCACTAGTCACCTTAGTTCTGGAACTTTCTAGTTTTTAAAAAGTAGACTTTGCAGTCTTGGCCATTCTTATTAATCTATCTGTAGAATTGAGGAAGGGGAGAAATACAATACAGATAAATAATGTGTAGGAAATATTGATTTCTGGATATAATTTTAGCCTGTGTGCATATATAAAAATAACAACAGATGGTTGTGTCTATTCTTTATTACAGCTCCATCCAGTAGAAAACCAGGGGACCCTCTAGTTATTTCTGATATCAAGAAAGGAAGTGTTGCTCACAGGTAAGATATCCAGTAAAAATCTGTTTCCACTGTGTAGCCAGCTAGGCTCAAGTTAAACAGAGGAAATCTGTAAGAATCTTCTGCTTTTATTTAGTGCACAGCAGTTACATGTGAAACATCCAACGTGTAAAGAAATAATTGTTAATAAAAATCTATAGTGTTTCTTTTTTAGTTTTTATGCTTTCTAAAACACTTTAATGTTACTGGCATTTCATGTAATCTTATTTACTTGTTCACAGAACTGGGACACTAGAACTGGGTGATAAGTTGCTTGCAATAGATAACATCCGACTCGACAATTGCTCAATGGAAGATGCTGTTCAGATCCTTCAGCACTGTGAGGACCTTGTAAAGTTAAAGATCCGCAAAGATGAAGATAATTCTGGTATTAGCAATGAACCTATTTCAGGTTCTTATGTATTTGCAGGTTTATTCTTTTGCATTTAAATTTTACTGAAATGGTTTTGCTAAACACTGCAGATTTTTGCTAGTGCCAAAGTGAAAAAAATTTTTATATATATATACATACAATTTTGTATTATCTAAGTGGTATATTACCTGCAGAAGCTGCACTGCAAAAAGAAATCTTTGGTTTTCTGCAAAGGCAATTGCCCTTCAGGTATAAACATAGAAGGTTGATCTTTCCCTTATCAGTATATTGAAATTTTCTCTACTTTTAAGACTGACCTGCTGGTCATGCTTCTGTTAATGCAACCCAGGATACACTTGGCCTTTTGGGCTGCAGGAGCACATTGCTAGCTCATATTGAATCTTTCATCAACTGACGCTCCCAAATCCTTCTCAGGGCTGCTCTCAAGCTACTCTCTGCTCAGACTGTATCTGTCCTTGGGATCGCCCTGACCCAGGTTCAGGACCTTGCACTTGGCCTTGTTGAACTCCATGAGGTTGGCATGGGCCCATCTCTTAAATCCATCCAGGTCTCTCTGGATGACATCCCTTCCCTCTAGAATGTCAACTTCACCACTCAGTTTGGTGTCATCTGCAAATGTGCTGAGGGTGTACTTGATCCCACTGCCCATATTGCCTACAAAGGTAACACTGGTCCCAGCACTGATCCTGAGGAAGGTCACTCGTCACCAGTCTCCACTTGGATATTGAGCCATTGACCACAACTTTCTGATTGCAACCATCCAGCCAATTCCTTATCCATCAAATCAATGGCCCATCCATCAAATCAATTTTTCTCCAACTTGGCAACCAGGATGTCTGTCATGCAGAACAGTGTCAAACGCTTGCCCAAGTTCAGGTAGATGACGTCAGTTTTTCTTCCTTTATCTATGGTGCTGTAACTCCATCTTAAAAAGCCACCAAGTTCATCAGACATGACTTGCCCTTGGTTGGGGCAATGCTGGGGCAATGTTGGTTACCTTCAATCACCCTGTCTTTATTTTCCATGAGCCTTAGTAGGGCTTTCAGGAGAATCTTTTCCATCATCTTGCCAGGCACAGAGGTGAGACTGACCAGCCTGTAGTTCCTGCTTCCATTCCCTATAGACTTTCTTTTTGCTCTTAAGTAAGTCCAGGAGCTCCTTGTTGGTCCATGGAGGCATCCTGGCATTCTTGCCTGCCTTCCTTTTTCTTGGATGCACTGCTTCTGGGCTTCCAGGAGATGGTCCTTGAACACTGACCAACTTTATTAGGCTCCTCTTCCCTCCAGGGCTTTATCCCACATCCCCCTACAAGCAGTTTCCTGAAGAGTTCAAAGTCCACTCTCCTAAAGTCTGGAGTAGCAAGCTTGTTGCACACCCTTTTAGATGCCCTAAGGATCTTCAAACTCCACAATTTGATGGTCACCACAGCCAAGGCTGCCCTTTAGCTTCACATTACTCACTAGCCCCTTATCATTGGTGAGGACAAAGTCCAGCATAGCACCTTTTCTCATGGGTTTCTGTACCACTTGAAAAAGGAAGTTATCATCAACATATTCCAGGAACCTCTTTGATTTCTGGTGCCCTGCTGTGTTGTCCTTCCAACAGATATCAGGGTGGTTGAAGTCCCCCATGAGAACTATGTTTTGTGAATATGAAGCTGGTCCTTTCTGTTCATAGAGGGCCTCATCCACTCAGTCTTCCTAATAGGGCAGCCTGTAGCAGTCTCCCACTGCAGTGTCTTTTTCCCCTGCCTTCCCTTTAACTCTAACCCATAAGCTCTTAGTCAGCTCATCATCTATCCCCAGGTGGGATGGACTGGTCATTGATGCAGAGGGCAACACCTTCTCTCCTTCTACCCCACCTTTCCTAAAGAGTTTATACCCATCTATTCCTACATTCCAGTCGTGAGAGTCATCCCATCATGTCTCAGTGATGCCAATGGCATCACAGTCCTGTAGGCACACACACGCCTACAACTCTTCTTGCTTGTTCCCCATGCTCCATGCGTTAATATACTGGCATTTGCATTGGGCTACCATTGAGGCTGATTTACCAGTTGGAGTTCCCTTATCCTGCAGCTTAGGTACTGGCCTGTGATCCAACTCCAGGTACAGGACAACCATTACCATCACCAGCCTCAAAGTGGGATGGTTTGAGGATTCTCCCCCCAGCAAGTCTAGCTTAAAGCCCTCCTGATTAAATTGGAAAGCTTGTTGCCAAAGATGATTTTCTCCTTCTCTGAGAGATGAACCCTACTCTCCCCCAGAAGACCAAATTTCTCAAAACTAGCTCCATGACATAAGTAGCCAAAGGCCCGTTCATGACACCCCCTTAACCATTTAGCCATTTATTTTTTTTAATTCTGTCAGCCCTTTCCCTCCTCATTCCCCTAACCAGGAGCACTGATGAGAAGATTACCTGTGCTCCCGAGATCTTCACTGCTGCTCCCAGCTTCTTGTAGTCCCTCTTGATATTCTTAAGGTTACCAATAGCTGTGTCACTGGTGCCTATGTGAAACAGCAGCAGTGGGTAGTAGTCTGTGGGACATACAAGATCTGGCAGCCTCTCTGTCACAGAATGCTCTTTTCCCTCAGCTGCTTTTGAAAGCAGATAGTATCATCTCAATATGATCAGTGCAAAACAAAGACTGATTCCTTGCTAACCTCCCACGTATGCTTTTTTGAGGAGAGGAAAGCAGGGAGGAGTAGTTCTTCCTCCCAAGGTTCTTGTTCCACCTCTGTCTTTCTGGTATTATCTTCTTCTGGTATTCATTTAACATATTTGTAGCTTCTAGCTCTTCCTTCTGTCTACTCCTGGTTTTCTTTGCTCTCTCTATACTCCACCTTTCTGTAGATGATTTTATATAGCTCAGAGCTGTGTCCCTCAGAGAAATATTCAAAGAATTATCCACAATTGCATCACTACAGGAAAAGAAAGAAGGAAAATCTCAAAAGTTAAGACCCCCCAACATCTTAATTTGATTGCATTTCCTCCCCAGGTAGAAGCATGTTTTCAGAGCAATTTTTCCTTTTTTTTTTTCCCTGCTAGTTTCCAATTCTGAGGATAATTTTATCTCCTGAATAACCTAATGGCTACCAGCCTTTTTAGAGTATTGGAATTTTTTTCTTTCATGGGAGAACTGGCTTTATTCTGAATTCAGGCCACTTTTAGGCCTTTTTTTTTTTTTTTTTTTTTTTTTGAATAGCTTTCATTTGTACTGCCTGGAAAGAGCACCAAAGAGAATAGTGTAGCAATTTGACATTTGTTGCATTCTACCATTAATTTTTTTAAGTAGGGCTCTCCAGAAGAAAGACATAATGGACCGGTCTCCTTTCTAGTCAGTCACTAAGATCTATAAACTTGCAACTCTCATGTGGCAGGACTGCTGCATGATGAATATCTTCTCAGTCACTTGCCATTGGTAAAAGAGAAATGTTAGCATTGTGTCAGCCCTTAGCAGACGCTGGCTATTGCATTTGCAATTAGCTTGGGGGATTACTCTTCATCCTTCTGTTGAAGTTCTGTAACATGTCAATGCCACACCTGTGTAAACATTATCAGCGTTAGGTCTCAGAGGATTTGTCATTGCCCCATGAACACTCCAACAGGCAAGCAAGAGCAGTCTGCTGTAGAAAAATCTGCTTTGGCAGGGGGGTTGGATTAGATGATCTTCAGAGGTCTTTTCCAACCCCAGCCAATCTGATTCTTCTGTGGAATGATTCTGCTAACAATAGCAAGTGGAAAATAGGAGGGATTTGGGATGGGGGGAAACTAGATCTAAATTTTCTGCAAATTGGGAAGAAACAAACTAATTTCAAAGATACTAGTGTTTCTCCAGCTCTGCTGAAGTATCGCATGCAGTGTTAGAAGGAAGCAATACTTTGAATCTATGGAGTGATGCAGTTTTCTTTTTCTCCTCTTTACATTTTTCACTGACTGGAATAAAAGTGTGAGCGTTTGAATTTTCTGACTTGTGTGAAAACAGTCACATTTACTCATTGTGCATCTTAGACATTTTCCACACTCGCTGAGCCATTCAAAATGTCATTACTCACATATCTAGGAAATGTTGCTTGCCAGGCCACACACCTTGGCTGAATACCAATATCATAAGGCAGACAAGGGAGCATTTGACCTGAGGAGAAATAGGAGAAATTTGACATTTAAAGTTTTAAAATATTCCTTCACAATTAAGAGATACTACAGTGGATTTCTCTGCTACTGTGGTACATCTTGGATAATATGTGAAGGACTGTACTGTATTAATAAAGCAACCTTTCTTGTTGATGCAGCACCAACTGGGTACCATTCGTAGAAAATACACTGTACTTGGCTTAGCCAGAGATAAATTCTTTACATTTATGATGATTATTTGGTGAGACTAAAATTTCAAAATAATGCAAATTTCATGCAAATAGGGAAATAAATAAAATTGAATGGAGTTATTCAATTCAGTTAATAATTCAGAATTCGGAAGCTATTTTTATTCAATTCTGAAAGCTTAAAATCTCTCCATTAAAAAGAGGGGATGTATTACAGGTTGTCTTAGTAAGACAGATGTTCATCTTATGATGACTTTTGGCCCTTCCCACAATTTTTTTAAGGAAGTTGGTTTTAAAAAGTTTTGAATTCTCCTTTTTTACAAATACCTTCCATTCAGTTCAAGGAACAGAAAAGTTCTGGCATTTACTAAGCCAGTAGTAAAGTATTTCTTCTCTAACAAAATAGCCTGAAGTCACATTTTAATAGGAAGAAGATACTAAGATTTTAAACAATAGAATACAATCCTGTTACAGCAAGGAGAGTTGTTCTAGTGACCTCAATATAAGCGTGTTCTGGCAATAAAGAAGAAATTGCACAAGGTGGTTTTTTTTTTCTAAATAATCCAGTAGAGTATGATGAAGAAGTATATCTGAAATATAATCCTGAAAATGTTTTTGATTACCAGTCAATAGATTTAATGTGTTATTTTTTTCATTCCCTCTTTCATAAGAAACCAACTGCATCTGTTTGGCATTTATTACAGATGAGCAGGAGAGTTCAGGAGCAATTATTTATACTGTTGAGCTCAAGCGCTATGGTGGACCTCTTGGAATTACAATCTCTGGTACAGAAGAGCCTTTTGATCCCATAATCATTTCCAGCCTTACAAAAGGAGGATTAGCTGAAAGGTATATTGGAAGACAAATTGCTTTTAAGTATTCTTTTTGTCAAGGTAAAGATTAATTTTGTTGACCCTAACATGCTAATTTTCATGTTTTAGCAGTTCTTTGGATCTGAGTTTATAACATTTTTGCTGTCATTTTGTGATGATTACTGAGTTCTGGAACATGAAGAATATCTTAACAGGATGTTCTTGCATATACTATACAAATCAGAGCAAATTGTGATCCATATTTTAAATATCATTGGAAGAGCTACTCAGTCACAGGAACATTCTTTTAAAAGTGGTAGCCTTTTGTATTAGAACAGGTGAGGAAAGCACTTCATGTATCTAAGTTTATCTGAAAATATTCTTCTCGTAGTATGCACACAGTGTCTGTATATGCACTGACTTATACCATAGCTATCTGAGGAGCAGAAATGCTCCTCATGGTAAGTAATGGATAGAGAATAGTTGAAATGCTAAGGTTTTCTGTCATCATTAGGACAGGTAGAGATGTTGCAACTTGTATGTTTCATGGTTGTTTCAGAGAAAATTTACAGAACACAAAGCACGATTGTTTTGCTCAGCCAGAACAGTAATGCATTTACACAAAAAGAATTTGTTTTCTTGCTGTGATGCAGTCCATCTGGAAAGCCACATTGGTGAAATAGTAGACTACTTGCTCTCACTGCCATTATCTGTTCTGTGACTCTAGAAACATTACATTAATTCCAAAATCTATCAAACTGTCTGAGATTATTCTTACTCAGATGGGCTGCAATGAATACTGTCCACAGTTTGTAACTACTGCAGTAACACTGAAATCTAAATCTCCATCCTTCAGCTCTGCTGTTGTCACCACAACAAAGGTGACTTGCTTTAAGCGTTTCTAACAATAGAATTACTCTGTAACACAGCTATGAATGCAAAACAAAAGAAAGATGAGAGTTTAATGCCTCCAAATATGCAAAGAAATGGTCTCTTTTTTTGCTTTTTTTTTTTTTTTTTTTTTTACTGCTCTTCTAATGTTTAATTTCTCTCTTGCTGTAGAACTGGGGCAATCCACATAGGAGACAGAATCCTAGCAATAAATAGTAGCAGCCTGAAAGGAAAGCCTTTGAGTGAAGCCATTCATTTATTACAGATGGCAGGAGAAACTGTCACCTTGAAAATCAAGAAGCAGACAGATGGTAAGTATGGCCAAAGTAGCATCTTTAACGAATGTGTTTTTACAGATGACGAAGCGTTTAGGCCATCTTCAGAGAAAATGTCAGGTCAGTAGCAGAAAAAGCATGTTCTTAGAACTGCATTAAAGCAATGACCATCCCCCATCCCTTTTTTTTTTTTTTTTTTTTTTAATAATCCTGTTCAGCTACCAGTCCCAAGAAATTCTCTGTCCCTGTGGGTCATGTAACTGAACTGAGTGATGCTGAAGATGAAACCTCTGCTGTACAGAAATCTGGCAAACTCTCAGACATCTATTCTGCTACAGTCCCCAGTGTTGACAGCGCGGTAGAGTCATGGGATGGCTCTGGTATTGATACCAGCTTTGGAAATCAAGGTACTATCAAGAGTGCTATCAGTGTTTAAAGTGGAAATTATTGTCTTACAGGTTGACCTTCCTTTGCCCTAAAGACAACCTTGTCTGTACTAAGTTTAAACCTTCTACTTTGTAATGTGCCGGTGTCTTGTTATAACCACACACCTTGGCAGGCAACATGATTTCTTATGCGTGGCTGGCCTCAAATACATTCTTTTATGACAATGTGCTATGTTATGAAGCATTTATCAATACATTAACAGGCTTTTGTTAGCTTTTCTGACATCTGAATAGCCCAGTCCATAGCTCATACACAACTAAATGAGTTTATCCTTCAAATATAGATCAATGCAAAGCACAGATCACTCTGAAGGTGTTCATGAATTTGACGCCCACGGGCAGTAATTTTTAACAGACAACAGATTTATTATAAAATGCTGAAGGGAGAACATTAAACATTACTCATGATCTGTAAAATTTGCTTCTCCCTCATTACTGCAGTATGGACAATTAACTTTCAGCCCTCAAAAACTATTTTCCAGTTGAAAGACATGATTTTATACTAAGTCTTATACTTCTGTTTAACTTGTTTTAATAAGATTTTCAGTATTTTTTTTGAAAGCAGAATGGTTTGTTTGAAACATGAGGTCAAGAAGTAGCTGATGTTACTGCTAATGGCTTTTTGTTGTTCTTTAATTTTTAAATATTTCTTAGCCTTACTGCACGTATTTTGTCATTAACTTCCTGTTCAACAGGATGGTCTCGATACTCTTAATTACAACTCCTGTTTTCTATGTTTTACTTTTAACTTACAGTTGCACATAACTTTTTATTTTATACCCAATGTAATGAGCTGACCTCCTCCTGTGTAATTTGTATTTCACTGGAGTTAGAATTTGAATGAATTTGTTGCCTTTTCTGTTTTTAACTGTTTTGGCTAGCTTATCAAAATAAATCATGTTAGAGTTTCTTCTGTTTGTTTGTTTTTGTTGTTGTTTGTTTGTTTTGTTTTGTTTTAAGTTCTAGGGAATATATTTCTGAGAAAGTAAGAAAATGATGGCTCTCATTTTGTATTTGAATTGATTATATCTGAGGCAAATTATTCAACTGTGGAAAGAACTAAGGTCCAGAGTGCTCTCTTAAATCCTGGTCATTCAGACTCCATGCCAAAAACTAAACCAGTGTCTCAAAATGTTTTTTATGTCTCCCTTAAGTAAATCACCCCAGACTTGGCTGGGTCCATGGTACTTCTCTTAAGCAGCCTGAGTATAATCAGAGTTGCACCTCATCCCTTGCTGTGGTACTACTGTGGCCCACATTTGTATTAAAGTTCATTCTGTCTTGACCTGTCAAGTTGTTTGGCTTCTTTCCAAACCTTTTTTGGCATAAGCACAGGCAAAGCAAAATGAGGAGTTTGGGGAATGTTTCTGGAGCTCCTGATGGTGCTTTATCCTATTAGTTATTAATTCAGTGCTGGTGAGACATCCTTTCTCTCCTTGAATTGACACCCTGTTTTGTACCTTTGTCTGATATGTGTGCCTTAGTAATCTGGAGGATTCCCCACACAACAGTCACATTTTCACATCCAAAACCCTTCATATTATTTAGGAGTCCGTTAATGTTTGTCAGTTAGCTAGAAAAAAGCACACAATTCTGTGTTTGCATGGGATTTAAGGGAGACAGGTCTGCACTGATATCTGAAGTGAATTGTCCTCCTTAGAGAGGTGACAGCAGTGATACTGGTTAGCCATCAATGAAACAGAATTTTCTAATACACAACGCACATCAGAAAATGCCAACTACAGAGACTGAAAAAGGAATTTGTCAAGGTGAAATATGTATATGCAGAAGTTCTACTGTACTGCAAATTGTGTACCAGATCACCATCAGATTGTGACAAGTTAATCCGTATGTTCTTTTTAATATGTTGCTTGAAAGCTGGACTCCATTGGCTTCCTACTTGCAATTTAAATTAGAGTTAATTCAGTAAAAGAAAAGCTATTCAACTACCACCAATGTTGCTTTTAAGATAAAAACATGCAGAAAAAACTCTTCAGATACCAAGGCTGTCTGATGCCACTTGCACAGCCTTGAAACATTTGGAAATAGCTGATAGAAAAGTCTCTTTCTGCAAGTTGAGCTTTCCAAGGGTGTTTATTGTTCCCAGGTGCACATTTCCTCCTGAGAGAGGCCTTTCCTCAGCTTTCCTAGTGAAAAGCAACAGCCCTGACAAGAGCAAGTCCCCTCTGCCCAAAGGGTCATGCTGTGGAGGTCATGCATGTTAAGTCTTTTCTCAAGGCAGTGCAGCTACACGGAGCTGTGATGGCTGTGACAGCACAGTCCTACACCTGTGTTACCGATCCCTTGCCCCATTGGTGCCAAGATGGTCACCCTCCTTCCTGTTGGGGCACTTAATCCAGCCTCTGTGCCATACCAACTTTTGCATCTAAATAGCCATAATGCAGATCAGCAGTGTGCAAAATTCACCCTAATACGTCACTAATTTTTGGCTGCGTTGCTTCCAAATTTGAGGAAGTTACTACGAAGAAAAAAACTGTCTTACTTGTCATCTAAAAAGTCAAGTTTGTATATTTCTTTTAGTGAATCCTTTCAAACTCTATTTAATAGATCTGAAGTATTTTTTCCTTAATAGATTAAATTTTGGATATTTCACACATTATCAAGTTAACACGTGATGGGCATTCATAACTTATTCACTAATATTCAAAGTCAAGTCAAATTGGAAACTGATGAACTTGTGGAAATGCCCTGCACAAAGTGTTGGAAGTAGATAAGACGAAGGATAGGAAATCTGAGTTGGATATATTTAAGATTTTGTTTTTGACCAACTTTCACAGAAGCTTTAGAGCACTGCTAATTTGGGGCACAAATGAGGTAATTTATTATGCTAAATATCTGGCTGCTGCTACTACTACTACTACAACAGCAGTAATTATCAGCCCACGTTCAAGTTCTAGAGAACCTAGTTTTAAAGATCTACTTTTTTGTCCTTACAGTATATACAGTGTCATGAATATACAATTCATCTTTTTAGGACCCAGCTATCAGGCTTCAGGATACAACTTCAATGCCTATGAATGGAGGAGTCCTAAACAGAGGGGCAGTTTGTCCCCTCCAAGCAGACCACGAAACCACCCATTTCATGACACAGTACTGAGTGATGATGAATGGGACCGACCTACACCAAGCAGGTAAGCTCTTGTTCAAGTTTCTGTTTTCTTATCTTCAGTTGCATTAATGCCTTAAATAAGGACGTTTATTATATGGAATGAAATTATTATTTTCTAACTCATCTGTAGCAGCTCATTCTCTAAATACGAGTTATAGTATTTATGATTAATGAAACTTATCAGAGTAGATAAATAGTGTTTGTGGAAGACTATGATGCCAAAAACAAGGCATATATTTATTTTCAGTTACTTAAAAACAAACAAACAGAAACAGAACAAAACAAAGATTTCAGTACTCATTGTACCTGTTGGTCAGGACTTGCACATCCTGCATTAGAAATACACACTCTTTGTGTAGCATCACAGTGAGCCTGAAGTCTCAGTTTATAGTTCAGTACAACAGAAAATCTTTCCTATATAAACCTGCTGGATAAGTAAATCCGTAAGTTTTAAATCAGTTAGCTTTGAAATGTAAATCAAGGCAGGGTTTAGATGACTGTGCAGCTTTTCAGAAGCTGACTGATCCTCCGATACAGCAGATTGCCCAATGGCATTTTATCTGGGGACAAGTCTGTCAGGATGATACAAGTGTGAATACTCAGCCTCTGTCCAGCTCCTCTGGTCCCTGCTGGCCAGAAGTATGCTAGAAGTTTTCATAGGCTATTAATGGAAAATATCTAATAAAGGAAATAATTGTTTCCTTCCCATTTTTAGTAAGTGTACTGTCTTTAATTTGAGAGCAGTATTTTTATCCACATTAAAAGCTCATCTTTTGTTTCCCAGATAAGGTGCAGCCACAGATTCCAGATCACCTGCTGTTTTACAGTTATATAAGTAATAGGTTGAAAAAGTTGATGAGCAGTCAACCTGAAAGCCAGACTGTAAAATGGAGAATATTCTCAATTACAAGCATGTATTCCACTACCAATTTAAAGCACAGTTCAAAAAAAGTATGCACATTAAAGTGGCTTGTTCTACTTACACCTGAGAGATACAGCAGAAATTTAAATAATGGTTATTTTAATATCGTATTTGTAAAATAAATTATGCCAGACCTGATAGTGCACCTGTGCCAAGTGCTGGAGTATTTGAGAAGGATGTATCTGTTCTTCCAGCCTGTGAGAGATAACTCCAGAACCAAAACAGCTCCTCTATGCTTCTAGCTAAGCACTCTGTCTTCTCTAACACTAAAAAGTAATTTTTCTTACCTTTATTTTGTGTAGCACAGCTTCCAAGAACATGTGGCAACAGAAGGAGACTGAGACATTGGGAGAGAATCAAGAAAATCACTTAAAGCAAACTTCTGTAGAAAGAGCAGGGGGAGAGAGCATCAGGAGCATGAAGAAAGAGGGCAAGCTGTGGAAAAGTGCCTCTGGTGGGCAGAGGAAAGGTGGGGGACAGCTGGAAGAGTGGAATACTTCCAGGTAGGAAAACTGTGCACAGGAGTGAGACCTGACTTGGACGGGGCTGAGGGGGAGGAAGGAAGAAAAGAAAGTAAAAAGTTAAAATGAGAAAAAGGAGAAAAATGGGTAAAAGCAGAAAGCACGTCACTAACATGCCACTGAGTGATGATAACGTTACAGCTGGAAGTAAATTAAACCAGAGAGCATAAGCTGCTCCGTAGCCCTGATTCTACCTACCACTGACAGACAGAATAAGTCAGTTATAGCTCCCACTCCAAGGAAAGTTTTTTGCACATTAAAACTTTATATACAGGAATGAGTCTGCCAGATCCTGGAACATCTTATCACTTCCTGATAGAAAAAAAAAAAAAGGAAGGGGAACACAGAGAGGGGATCTGCTCTCTTCTATAGCAACAAGAACCAAACCATAGGCACTTGTAGCTTCATATCTGTCCCAGTACCCTCGGCATGTTTGTGTTTCTGAATTCTTGATGACTCTTTGAATGAGCATCAGAAAGAGAGATTTATTTGCTTCAGCTCAAACAATATTTCACATGACATAAAACCAATCTCTCAGATTTGTTTCAGGAAAAAAGATAGATGAGAAATGTTTTTGGAAGCTCTTTTTTGTGATGCAGTTGTTCAGCTACAAAGCAGCTTATTAATGTGGCCATAATGGAGGTGAAAATGTTGAGCATTTCACATTCCAGGAGATAAGATTCAGAAAAAGCAAAAGAGGAGGTGAGGGCAGAGAGAAGAATTGTTCTGGCCAAAAAGATGTCCAAACTTACAGTCATTATAATTTCAGATTTCATAGGAGTTAGAGGAGAAATGGACCTCCTGTTCTAGTAAATCCAGTCTTCGTTGAACAGACATATAAACCTTTTCATTAACTCAAGTTCTCTTTTACAGTACAATATTACTATCCAATATAAAGAAAGGTATTGGATAAAGTAGTTGATGTTCAGCATTAGCCATTAGAATAACTACTTAGGTTGATTGAAAGAGCTAATTTCAGACATCAAGGATCTTTCTAAAATCATGTTTTAAATACTTTCTTATCTTGCCTGAGAGGAATTGCATCTGTGATCTGAGTAGGTATTCTCACCATTGCTGTATCTATTGCAATATCTTAGAGGAGACACTGATGCTAGATGGAGAATCATTGCAATAGGAGTTCGAAATGGCTGACCATTGTCTGCTTGACTGATAGTAGCTGTAAGAAAGCATCTCCAAGGCAGAGTATCCTGTGTGTGAAGCATTCAAGCTATCGTTGGTTGTGCTGGGCAATTCCCCATTTAAAAGCTATCACGTTAACCGTGTTACATTCATGCTATTCTCAGTAACACTGTTTGTCAAGCAAGGCCTCAGATGCTTCCATAATACTGTTTGCTCTGTTTATGTGATGTTAAGCACCACTAGCTGCAGTCCATGGGTAGCTGCTCCAAAGTAAAAGCTTGCTGCCACCAAAAGGCCGATTTCTCATTCTTTCCTTCCCTCATCCTCCCCCTCAGCCTTTCAGCAGCCCCCTCCCTTGCAGCTGCTTTGACGCTTGTGTGAACCTTCATTCAGCTGACCTCCTTTGCCAAGGCAGCAAAAAACTCCTGCTTTCTGCCCTCACACACACGCACAGTGGCAGTGTTGCTTTGGGCTGTGTTTCTGCAGTCAGAGTTGGCATTTTGGTCTGACCTTTCTCACTGGGCAACCTTCCTAAGCATCACTGTCCCTAACAGCTTGCTCTGGAGTGCTAGTAATATTGCTTCAGTGTTTTTATGAAACATCAGAGATCTAGGTCTCCATGCAAGCCAGTTGCATCTCTGGAGGTTTCTCTTGTTTGTGTATAAAATTACTGGAGCAGTTTCTATTATAGCACTCAGGTGGGCTTAAATTGATAATAAGTGCAGCTTAGTCTGAAGGAATCAGTGAAAACACCATTATCCCTCCTTTGCAAAATGCCGTTTGCCAAAATGAGAGCTCTTCATATTTCCCTGAAAGAAGTCTGTGAGGTTGAAAGGTTTTATTACAAACATTTTGCTGCACAGAGCAGCTCTGCCCTGGTTGATTCGTTAATTTGCATAGGGAGAACCCAGTTTCAGATCAGTAGAAATGTATATTCAACTGTTCTTGAAATCCGTGTGTCTCCTTCCTGAACAACACCCTGCTCAGATCCTGCCAGCTGCTCGTGACCGCCAGGTGATGGGAAGACCTGGCTGCCATGTGCTCTGCATGCCCATCCGGCCTCTCCCGACCAGCGACCTCCCCACTCCTGCCTACCTACTGTAAAGTTCTGTCATTCGACTTGCAATCTGTGGCAAGGCACGTGTGTAAAATATATTTTCAAGGGAAAACAATCCATCTTTTTTAACCTCTCATTGTAAATCTAGCTTCGCAGGTACCCATGATAACACCGAGGCTGACCAGGAGGAAAACTTCTGGTCTCAGGCTCTGGAGGATTTAGAGACCTGTGGCCAGTCAGGAATTCTGAGGGAACTAGAGGTAGAACAATCTTAACCTTTCTTTCCAATTATAGAGAAATATAATGGTTTTGGTTTGGTTTACATTCATTTTATTTTCTCCTTTTTTTTCTTTTAATTTGCACTAATCGCACCAATTCATTTAAAAGCTTTAACCCCTCTCCACAGGACAAGGCTGACAGGCGTCTGTGTTTGAGAAACATGACTCTCTTGGTACCTACCCTTTACGTTTATCTTTTTGCTTGTGCAGCTGCCTCCCCCACCCCTAACCAGAGCTATTTTCTTTTACTCAATGCAACTGAAATTCTATGAACGTGTTCGCCCCAGAGCTTTTGACTTGTAGCTTCTGCTGTGCGTCCCATTGATGCTGTTTGCACAGGCAGCAAATGGTGCAGAACTTCCTCAGTGGGCATAGCCTCCCTGCGGCAGCGCATCCCATTCTCTTGCAGCCGCTTGATGCAGCTTTTCTTAGCATGCTGTAGGTTGTCTTTTAAATTGAAACTTAATTTGATTAAGATGAACATAAAAGAAAATAATGTTATCGAGATATTGAATACAGCCTTACCACTCTGAAAAAAAAAAAAAAAAGAAAAAAACCCTGCCAACATGAGAAATGTTGGTTGTGCAGCAATTTCTCCACTATGCATAACATATTTTATCCTGAAATTAATTGCAAATCTAACTTCATGGCAGGTCGTGTGGGGGGGTGAAGCAAAGGGACAGAGGCAGAGTAACTTTGAGTCTATTTTTCTAATCACCTTTACTCTAAGTTCTCTAATTGGAATAGTTAAAATTATGCTGGCTCTGAAAGTTGAAGAACGAAAGGTCCTAAAATATTTTCTTTTATGTTCTTTTAAATTCCTGGAGCTGCAAAACTGGCAGAATCTCATTTTCATTTTTATGTCATTGAAGTCCTTTAGCAGCCAGGAGGAATGTGAATGGCATAACTTAGTGAAAGTTTTTCAGTCTAGATTAATTTACTCCTTCAGATTTACGGCTTCTGTATTGCATGTATGGATAGCAAAATGTGATTCTCGTGTATTTGTTATTGCAAACCAGAGAAAAGAAGGAGAAAATGTTATATGGGTTTAATTCCATAGTTAGATATGGTTTGGTACTGCAGGCTTCTCATGCAGTTTCAATATTCAGAGCACAATAAAAGGAGATGGAAGTAAGTAATTCAGAAATGGAAATAGATCATTCAGAATTCAGTTACTTCAACACGTTGAGATTTCCTCAGCCTTTTATAAAAGCAGCCACCTCTATTTTACAAAAGTGAAATTCAGAAGCGTAGATGCTGTAACATTTATAGCATCGCTTCCTTGCACAGCTCACAGATCTGAAAAGAAAGCAAGACTCATTCAGCATGACAGGGAGCTGAGAATGGCAATGCCTCTTTTTTTATGAAGTACCATCACATAGTCAAGGACTCCTTCTTATTTTTCATTCCAAGGTCTTCAGCCAAACAGCAAAAAACCTGTTGTTTGCCAAGTCCTCGAGCTGCTTTGCTCCGTCAGAAAGTAATAGCAGTCAGTGAACACAAGAGAGACTATTAAAGTACAGTAGATTATCTCATAGTGAAAGTAGTGCTAGAGTTGGGAGAACTATGAGACAAGTATGGTCACTAGACTCAGAAGCAAACTTTCATTTGCCTTTTTCTTCCCCTTTTTTCCTTTTATTCTCATTTTCAAGCAGGCTGTCTGCATCCTGTCCCAGTCAGATTTCAGCTTGTGGCCTGAACTCATAGTTTCCCATTTCTCATGTCCATCAGTACCAGGGAGAATAAATAGGAAATTCAGTGCATGCTACCCCAGCAGCAGGCTGCACCCCGCTGTGGCAACTGTGCCAAAGCACAGTTTACCTCCCATTCTCTGAAGGAGGAATTCTTTCACAGTGGGTACTTTTGGTGTCAGTACAGTACATTCCACCCAGTGGCTGAGGTGACTTCTGTTGTCTTCTTTCAACATCCCATCTCTGGAGGCTCTCAAGGCCAGGTTGGATGGAGCCCTGGGCAATGTGATCTAGTGGGTAGCAGCACTGCCCATGGCAGGAGTTTAGAATTGGGTGAGCTTTAAGGTCCCTCCCAACCCAAGTTATTCTGTGATTCTGAGATTTCATGCTTTGTGCATTCTTTTATCTAACATGAAGTCTAGCTTTTCCTGAGACTAAAACCAGCAGTGAGAGAGGGGTTGGTATCTCTGAAATGCTAGTGCTGACTAAGGTAGTTGCTTTTGCAATATGCACGTTATGCATAATTTCTTCCAAGCAGTGAGTGTACCTGCACTGAGTTTCTCCCAGGCTGGGATGGTGTCCAGGCAGTGGCTCTGCCAGCACTGGCTCTAGAGCTGCCTTCACATTCTGCTGACTTTACTGTTTTTTTAATAAACCTCGCAGTCACAGTCTGTCTTGTAAATATCTTCCTATAGATCCAATTCCAACAAATGTAATTAGGCTGCAACTTAAACGTCACTTTATTTACATAAAATATATTTAAAGTGAACAGTTATACTATACACTCTTCAGTCCAGTCTGCCAGGGGACTAGCTGACCAGCACAGCCATTCCAGTGCTCAGTATTTTAGTTGAAAATGCCATCTGAAAACGTTTGCCTATGGGGTTCTGTTATTCTTGTTGTGTTTTGTTGTGGTCCTTTATTTTATAGTGACTTGCAAGCAGATTGAACATCTGTCCTCTTGCCTTTTGCTGTGCCCTGAGTGATTGTGTTTTAACAAAGAATAGATAAGTTTTTCCTACTGCTGTGAATTAACCGCTTACTTAAACCACATTCTGTGTTAAAAATTAACCTGTTCATTAATGCTCTAGGCCACAATTATGTCAGGAAGTACACTGAGTTTGAATCATGAAAACCCACAGCCTCGTAGCCAGCTGGGAAGACAAGCCAGCTTCCAGGAAAGAAGCACTGTAAGGCCACATTACAGTCAAGCTTCTCGTAGCAACACATTGCCATCAGATGTGGGGAGAAAGTCCATGGTTATGAGAAAAATTAAGCAAGAAATGAAAGAAATCATGTCACCAACTCCTGTGGAGTTACACAAGGTCTGTAATTTTTCTTCTGACAGTTCTGAAATAATATATTCAGCATAGGGAATCTAATTATAAGGCAATACAGTAAGCACTTTTTATAATGACTCCACAGATGTAATTCTGGGGCTGTGCATATTAGTTCTTAGAAAGACATAAATGATATATCCTTATGGGGAAAGCAAACAAATAAGATGCATCTTTGTCTAGTATTTTCTTTTACAACAAATTCTCCAAAGGGACTGCTCTTTTGCAAGGAGGAACCACTGGTAATTTGAATTGACAATACCAATAACTCATCTCTGCAAAATGTGTTCATTAAGAAACCAAAGTTTAATTTCTAGAAAATACATTTCTTTAGAAAATTACTCAGGAGGGATTTGGGCTCCCATTGGTCCTTCTTCAAATTAACACTAATTTTGAATCAAATATATGATGCTCAATGCACACAATACAGAATCCTTCAAATGAACTATTGCTTCACTTCTCTTTATAATTCCTTTTTTCTAAAAAGGATAAAAACTTTACAGTCTATGCAACTTTTCACTGCTCAAGACTTGTTGAAAACACATGGTAATATTAAGGTGGCTTTACACCCCAAGGCAGTCATGGATAGAGCAGCTTCATATCTGCAGAGGAAACACCATGCTGGTTGAAGTCTCAAATCCCAAAAGGCCATAACAGCAACCAGTGTCCAGAATTCTGGGGAGCGTTACAATGCTGTTCTCCTTGGTGGGAATGAGTGTCCCATCTTGTACACCTTTTTCCTCCCCAAGGTCCAAGATTTTCCCAGAAAAGGGAGAAAAGCATGTAGAAATTTCTGTAAGAGTCTCATGTTGTCACTCTCAGGGTAGTTGGTTTGTTTTCTGTTCACTGTGGCTCTGACTGGGCTCAGTTCATAATTCATTCCATGTGGTGCGATAAGGTCTCACTGAGTATATGCTAAGTGAATACTTCTAGAAGATATTGAAGAGTGGATCTTACATATGGACAGGGAATAAATTGCCTGTGTAAGCAGTCAATAGGATGTGTTGTGATAGTTTAAAGCTACTTGTATTTCCATCTTGATATGAAGAGATTAATAGGGTTGGTTGCTGTGCTCCATTTTCCTGAGTGGAAATTAAATGTGAGATAGAAGACAAATCTATGCCAGCAGGCACTTCATGGTGTGCTCACACTTAGCAAAGATACCGTTTTTCTTCTATGGATTATAAAACAAGTCTGTGTTGACTGATAAAGGAAATGCTTTGCTGGACAGGAAGGGTCAGATTTCTGCTAATGAATCAGTATTGTTTTACAGCTGCTAGCTCTTAAGTACTACGCAGTAAGAAAAGCCATCTTTTAAGAAAAACAGCTATCAGTGCCTGGATCTTATGGTCCAGCTCACCAGAATATGCTTATACCCTGTTCATTGCAGGGGAGTTGGACTAGATGACCTTTAAAAGTCCCTTCCAACTCTAAAGTTTCTATGCTTCTATGCAAGTTAACCCAAGCATCATGGGCTGGTTTTGTATTCATGCCAATCTTAGTTAAGTTCCTATTGGCTCTTGTGTAGAAATGTGTCTATTACTTTCTGTCCCCTCCTTGCTGTTTATGTTAGACCTCTAGTTTAACACGAATAACCTGTTCAGTTTCTATTTCTCAGGAAAACTTGTCCAAAACAGCTGCAGTGCTGTATGAGTGACTCTGAATTCACTGCCAAAAGAATTCCTTAAGTATTTTTTTGTAGCAGGGCTTGCTGGCAAATGTGCTCTGCCCTCTGCAGGCGAATGTCCCACTATGTCAGGTCAGAGAGAAAAAGGCTGGATAAAAGTCCTCAGGCTACAAACACAAATGAGTAACTGTAAGGGAGCAGCAGGGTGAGCAAATGACATTACCAGCTTTGTCCTTCTCAGATGCATCCCTGTCAGAAAGGTAACACAGCCCTGAGAATTATTTTGATTAATGCTGCAAACTTTGCAGCAGGTGAACGTGAACTCACTGCTATTTTTTGCTTAACTGCATTGATTTCACCAAATATTTATCCTGTTTTTATCCTGAGAAAGCTAGGATTGAGATAAGTGTCATACAGATCTGTCACAATATTTGTTCTAGATGGTTTAATCAGTAATATTTAATTTAGCTGGATACTATGTTGCTGTATTGGTACCCAAATTTAATTTATGCCTTTAATTGATTTTATCTACTTAGGTAAGTGTATAGATTAATATTTTTCTTAAAATCATAGCAGACCAATTTGAAAAGTTTCCCAGAGCAAGATTTCCTATGAGAACAAAAATATGCACTAGACATAAAATAATTTTTCATCAGTATTGCTGCATGTCAGCATTAGCCTAACATTGCCGTTGGTTAAAATCTCTCAATAGCTAATCTGTGCACGATGTATGAATTTAAATGAAACATTTTCCCATATATCTGAGAGGGAGGGGAGGCACAGAAACAAACTCAAAACCTGTAAGCCTCTGTTCAAAATTTGTAACTATTTAATTGCTTATGAAATATGCATTAAATTTCCATTTCAGCTTTCTTTTTCCCTTAGGCTTCTGATGCAAATTTAAAAGTCTAACAAATCATTTACAGCTGAGATTTTGCTATTGAGATCAAAACTTCCAAACAGTTGTGATGAGAAGTACAAATAAGATGGCATGATTTAGGTGTTGCGTGAATTGCCTACAATCTCACACCCTTCAGACAGGCTGCATTAGTGGCAAGTGAGGATGAGAAACCTGGGTGGGAAGGCTTTGCCCTTACCCACTACTAAATAAAAATCAGGCACTGATTTTACTTGAGGATTTTCTTTTAGAAATGTATGCTGCCCTAAAGGGAAGTGGCTCCAATATTATAACCTGTAATGTGCTCTCTGCAGATGAGTAGCACCTAAAAAGTGTGACAGCTGTCAAAGACACAGCAATGTTCAATTGCAACCTCATCCCTTGAATAAATAGCTATCAGTTTCATTAATTTCCAAATTCCTCTTAAGTTAGTCAAAAGTCAAAAAAATACAGCCATGAGGGAAACCATTTTTAAAAACTCTTTTATGATCTGTAGACCTGAAGAACCAGAGAAATTAGGTAGTATTTTGATACATACCCTTCCAGAATCACGTTGTCTGCTCTGCCGTGGCTTTGGTAAGGTCTGGACTGTAACAGACTGCTCAGTTCGGGGTCTGAAAGATAAGGAAGGCATTGTCCTGCAGAATATACTTTATAGAAAAACAATCTTTGTTTCACATAGCTGCAAAGAGAGAATAAAGTACTCCCCTTGTTCTTTGTGGATAGCAGCAGACTTAAGTCTCAGCAAGGGAGTTTTAGTTTAGACATGGGGGAAATAGTTGAAACACTGGCAGTAATTACTTTAATAGTCTGTGGAGTGTCCTTCACTGGAGATTTCAAGAAGCAGGACAGATCGCTTAGAAATGGGTTAAATGCAGTTTGTCCAAACTTAGGGCAAGAGTACAGCCTTAGATGGCTTCAGAGAACCCCGGTTTCATATGGTCTAGAGGGTTTTCATCCGAGGTTGAATCCTGCTCCACTTAATGCCAGTGCCTTAAGGAAAAGGAAGGAAAAAGAAATGGAATGAGTGGGAAGTTCCTTTTAAAAAATGTAACATCTCTTCCGGAACAGCACAGTATTTTATACCTCATCTCCCCTCAGGCTTTGTATCATGTTTCCACATTTGCTTTTCAAGGCTTCTTTAAGAAGCAGTTAAGAGAAGCCCTCCTATCTTTGTGAGAGTGTGGAGAAAAGATTATTTAAAAGAGGATTCGTGTCTTGGTGCAATGCTAATTAGTTTTTGGTCTTGCCAGGAAGTGCACACAACTATTACTAAATTAAATAAATCTCTCTGCTTTAGTTTTCCTGGGGAGTTTGGTATTGGTTTGGTTTGTTGTTTTGTTTTGTTTTGTTTTGTTTTTTGGTTGTTTGGTTTTCAACTTCCTGTATTGTTAGTCTTATGGCACTTTCAGGGATACCTCAGATCAGACCCATGTTAGACATGGCTGTGATATGACAACCAGGTGTCTGTTCTCACCCTGTTTAAAGCACCGTTAATGTACCACTGAAGCAGAGTAAATTCAAGAAAAGTGCAGAGAGCTTGAAAAGAAAAACACAACCATCTCTGCCATTTGTTTATCTGAGCAAATATTTTACTTCTGTTTTGAGGCAACTTTTTCCTTGCTTATCTTTCCACAATGATTTTTAAGGCAGGGTCTCAGCATCAACTTGCATGGTGCCCAACCCTGCTGTGCCTTGTCATTTTTCTGTGAAACACTGACTGAGTGCTGGAGCCTCTTCTGAGCTCAGTCCTCACCCTGTTTTAAGCAGGAGACTGGGCTGGAGGCCTCCAATATCCCCTCTAATTGGAAGGATTCTGTGATTCAGAGACACCAGAGAGGAATTCAGTGTTATGGAGATGGCTCTGGACCAGGAGTGGTCAAAGGGGTCAGAACCTGCTTCCCACTAGGCAGGGCATTAGTGGCTGGCACATGCAAGTGGTTGCAGCACTTGGAGCTTGCTTGTATCAAGCCATTATAAAATTAGAGAGCACTCCATGCTGTTATTTCATCAGCCAAGATATAATTTGAAGCAGTATTTTGAACCTGAACTGAAATACACTATATCAGTAAGAGCATGATTTTGGCTATGTGTCTGTATTAGCACACACCTTCTGGCAGCACTGACGTGTCAATCAGAGGCCATGCCATTGGCCTACACAATTTTCTTGCATAGGTCTGTTTGCCCGGTGTAAGAGAGTAGCAAAGCAAGAAAAATTCAAAAAAAACTTAAGAAATAAAAAGCTACACATGGCACATCTACAAAGAAGTCTCTGAATTCTTTTCTAGCAAATAACTGAACTCACAAGACTATTCTCACAGTACTAATTCTCTGAACATATAGAAAACCTCATTCTCCTAACAAGGATAGCGTCCATGTACTACTTTTGAATGGCTGTCTCTTGCCTGTGTAACTAACATATCTATGCTGGCATCACACAATTGCTTGTCTTCAAAATACCTTTCCTGCAGTGTCTTCCTGTAGGAGCCATGTTTGTGTGTTCCTAGAAGGTTGCATTGTAACTCTTATACTGAGCACTGTTGGGACTGGACCTTACAGGGTTGACCACTGCCTGGTGAAAAAGAAGGCTGACATGGCTCAAGGTGCCAGTGCTATTTTGGAAGATATGACACGGGTTTAGTTTAGGCCAAGTCTTTGTTACTGCACATTGGCCTTCACTGTAGAGATGCCAAGTCTTGTTAACAGCTCTCACAGCCTTGCAGTTGAGTTGAGATTCTTGGTGGCAGTTAGTTAATCAATTCCCCATCATGCTGAGACCATTAAGATCATCATAAAATAAGATCATCATCATAAAAATGGGGCCAACTCCCATATAGTACTAGAAGTACCAAGTAGCAGGTAAATAAGTGATTGATGTAATATGAAATAAATGTAGGAAGGAGATCTGCCTAGTGCTTGTAGAAATGAGGACAAACTTTTTTTCCCCACCGTACCATTATGTCAATTACCTCCACAGGTAACTTTGTACAAGGACTCTGATGGAGAAGACTTTGGGTTCAGTGTCTCAGATGGTTTATTGGAAAAAGGAGTGTATGTTAAAAACATTCGACCAGCTGGCCCTGGTGATCTGGGTGGTTTGAAACCATATGACAGACTCCTACAGGTAATGTTTTTGTCACCACTCAGGTTTATTGTGAATGGACATGACATAAAAAGTCCATTTTGTAAAAAGTTTTGTAACCGGTCTGTATGGTGTTTGGGTATCATCTGTGTACACAGATGTGTGGGCACAAAACTGCATAAAACTGTGTTAGCACTCAATTGGAACAGCTTTATTATCTATGAGAGCTACTCTGAAAGTAATGCCTCCTATTTTATTATGTTGGTCCACGACATCTGAGACAGATGGTGGTGGTATGGCAGTAGAGGCTGAACCTTCCTGCCAGTATTGCTACATGTTGTTGCTGTGTGACAGGTGGCAGCAGAGGGACAGTCTGACACAACAGTGTCTGACATGGAAGGGCTGATGGAACAAAGGTGTGAAACTGAATTCCTCCATGTGGAAAAAATGGCACCCACTGGCATTCATCAACACTTGCTGAATGTTTATAGAGAGCAAACAGTGGGTGTGGGTGTAGATAGGCAGGGGGTGGTGTGTTTCAACAGTGGTGACAGCAGCATGAAAGGCAAGCCATGTTCTGAATGGCCCTGCACAACTGTTGCACCATGAAATGAAGAGCATCTTGATGAGCTCATCTGCACAAATCAGTGGATTGTGACCAGAGAACTGTTTACAGAGCTGAGTATTGGCTTCAATGCATTGGAAACTATGGTGGCAGTGTTGGAATATCGCAAACTTTGAGCCAGGTGGGTCCCATGAATGCTCACAGAGGAACAGCAAGAGCACCATATGCAGTTTGTCAGGGCCTATTGAACTAATATAGAGCTGAAGGTGACAGTTTCCTGGATCACATCATTACTAGGGACAAGATGTGACAACACCACTCCAAGTTGGATTCATAACCATGGAGTGGCAACATGAATTCTCCATCAATGAAAATGTTCAAGAGTCAGTGTGTTAAGTGATGGGTCTTTTGGGATTGGAAAGGAGTAATCCTTTTGGATTTCTTGGATCCCAGACAAACCACCAACTCTGACCACTACATCATGATGCTAATTGAGCTGAAGGCTCCAACTTCCAGTTGGAGGCCCCTTGCCAGTTTGAAGACCGTGGAGCACATTGCCAATCTTGGCTGGACTGTCCTACCACACTCACCAGATTTGGTACCATCTGACTTCTATGTGTTTGGGCTGAAGAAAGATGGATTGCATGGGCAACCTTTTTCAAGCAGCAGTGCTGTCATAGCAGCCATGAAACAGTGGGTCACTTCTGCTGGTACAGACTTTTACAAGCATGGCATGCAGGCTCTTGTTCATCACTGGCAAAAATGCACAGCTAATGGTGGTGACTACACTGAAAAATTGCATTTTGTAGCTGAGAATCTGCTCAATCAAATAAGTGTTACTGGGCTCTTCATATCTGCTGTAGTTTCCATGGAAATAAATAGGAGGCATTACTTACAGAGCAAATGCTCTATGTTGCTTATTGTATTTTCAGGGAGAAGCAGTGTTGTTATTTTGTGTATCTACTGAGAAAGGATGTGGGGGAAATGGGAAAAAGGGGAAACAAGATCTTAATTCTCTGTGCCACACGCCAAATAAATCCCTTAGGGCACTGGGTAGGAAAATGCAGCAGCTCATGGTGATCTGGGCTTTTATGCAGTAGAACTAAAGGCAGATTTTCTCTGTAAAGTTGCATTTATAGAAACAAATTACTTATTTCATAACTTCAAGGGAAACATGCAAATGTTTACTGGAAAGTTAGAATTTCCTGAGACATTTCCAGACAGATCTGTAATTTTTGCTGTTCTTGTTACAGACTTTAAAATTGTTTCTGTGCTTAATCCTCGTTGCTGATTGCCAGAGCTGTAATAGTATAATGCTCACCGAGCACCACATCTGTGCAGTGCCAAGTTGCACTGGGAGGAAAAAACCTTTTTTTTTTTTTTTTTTTTTTTTTTTTGTCAGCTAGTCTATTAAAATGTTTTAGTATTAACACAAGAGAAAACCTGAATTGAAATTTTAGATGTGGGCTATGGCACTTCATTCAGTGAATACTATGAAGGCTGTGAAAGTGGGAAAAATGATGTGCTGTTAAGTATCATTTATGGAGCAGACATTGTAAGCACTGACAACCACTATAACCAGGGCAAATATGCCCACTTTGGCCTCATTCTGTTAAAGCAACAGTAGAAAACATCACCTGTGCTCTCAGATCAGATGCTATGGTTAAGTAGTCTTGGGCTGTTCTCTACCAGGAGTATTTAGATCAGCCTTCATTGTCTCATAGATGAATCTGTTTCTCTTGTGGTCTCCTTTTCCTTAAAACCCTACCTAAAATCAATCTTCTAATCGCTCAGGTAAATCATGTTCGTACCAGGGACTTTGACTGCTGTCTGGTTGTGCCCCTGATCGCAGAATCTGGCAATAAGCTGGAACTGGTCATCAGCAGAAACCCACTGGCATCTCAGAAAGGAAGCTCAGACCAACAGCCTTCAGCGAGCGGGGAGTGGAGCAATCAGAATAATGCCTTTCTTCAACAGACCGAGCATGGTAACATGAATACAGAGACACGGGATCCCACAAATACATTATAGCAGAAAATCATTTTAGTGGGACATTTGGTAATGAAAGACAATTATGGTGCTACATCCCTTTAGGATTTCTCTGAGGATAAGCTCAGATACAACATAGCACTAAAAAGCACAGGAGGTCAGTCTGTCCGTCTCAAGGCTTATATTAATTCATGATCACTTTTTTAGAAGTTTAATTCTTCGTTAAGTCATTCCATTCTAAACAATCTACCATTAGCAACAGTACATAAGGGCCTTCCCCCCTCCCCCCCCCAAAACAGGAAACTGGGGAGATGTTTATACATGGTATAAACGAAACGGTCCTTTCCCTTTTAGCAGCAGCAGCTGTGTGAGGGGAAAAGCACAGTTAACTCCTAACAGTGGTGTCCAGGTTACATGATTTTTAAAAGCATTTGATCAGGAAGTCAGCATCAGCTGGCTGAGGAAGAATGCTGTGCTGCACCCCGTGCTCTCATTAACTGCCTAGCATTGTCATTCTGGGGACCTGCGTCCTGCTGGCAAGCAGGGGACACTGTAGACAAAGCACGGGTTAGATGTTTTAACAGAATGCTTGTAGGAAGCTGCAGCATGTGGTGAACACTGCTCCCCAGCAACTGTGATAAATTTTATTAGATCGTATGTTATTATTCCCTATGCAATGAAATATTTAATGGCAGGTCTTGCAGCCTGCAAGGCTTTTTAAGTAGAGACTTTTGGGGGGGGGGATTAAAAACCTCTGAAGGAGGGTTACTGATGAGTAAAACTGAAATGCTTTCAGACAAATTAGAAAGGTTTTAAAAGAAAATTGATTTTTTAAAACAATAGCGGTGGAAGATTGATACAGAAGTTCTTTAATGATCCATAAACCTATCAACTTCTACTGTTCTACTTGAGCTTTTTAAGCCAAACGATTTCTTGGGGGGACCAGTGTCCCATTTAAAATGCTTTGTTCTCAGTCTTCTTTATGATAAACATCCCCCTACAACACGTTTTTAGAATTTAAAACTGTAAATATATTTTACAAACATCACAGATTCCCTCCACTCCCCTCAAGCAATAAAATACTGCCAGTTGCTTTATATGCCCACCAGCAGCTGCTTTGGTTTATTCCAGTATTCAAGTTGTTATTGGTAATTATTGTTCTTGGTGAATATAAAGATACTGGGTTTGTACATTTGTAGAGTCACCACATCCAAGCAATCACCCTACGGAGCTGTTTCTGGTCATTTTAAACTGTTATCTGTATCCCTATTGCTGTTTCCAATCCATGAACGAGCTCACCTGCCCCCACACACAACTGTCTCATTTATATTGCAGCACTGCCACAAAAGGTCAGAGGAACATTCAATATTCAATGCTGAATCATGTAAAAAAAAAAAAAAAGTCCATAAGTCACTTAAATACGTATTTTTATTTGTAACAAATAAGTATTAAACTGTAAAGTATTTTTGTACAAATTTAATACTTTAATAGCATGATATTTATCGTCTATGTATGTTTTTTTGAAATTCAAACTGTTGCAAATATTTGTATGGAAAAAAAAACTGTATAAATTGAAATAAACTGTGATTTAAGGGCGTTAAAAAAAGGTAGTATTGGTCTACTTTGTTTTTTTTCCTGACATGAGAAAAAAATATCAAGAGTAATAAGCAAACCCTCCAAATTTTAGTGCAGTCTGTCTGAAGTTTGAGTAAATGTTCAGCTTATTTAATCATAGCAATTACAGTTGATCAAGTCATGCAGTATAACAAAAAGGAAGTGGTGATGTTATTTGGGTTCTGAGTTGGAATGTTACTTCCAAGACCATTAGCAGATGGAAAGCAACAGCAGCAAGTTTTGCATTGCTTTCAAGTACCAAATGGGGAAAAGTAGCTGTATCACTGATTGCATCTTTTGTTTCTCATTTTAACACGATTAAAATTCCTAAACCATCAAAGCTTAATGCCCGTAGTTCTGCCACATTAGAGAAATGTGAATTCCTGTTTGCAAACTGTTATTTTTTGGCTGAAAAGCAAATCACAACTTTTGGCACAACCATAGATTCTAGTCAGTGCTGCAGCTTTAGGAGATACAGATAAAACTGATCGCTGCGTCTGGAGCGCTCAAAAAAAAAAAGAATGCCCATGTATTATTCAAGTGAACTTCTGGATCCTGAGAGTTCCTTCTTTAGGAAAATAAAAGACCATAGTGATTTTTGATGACTAACACCAAGGAATCTTTTACTAAATACAGATCACTGAAAATATAAAAGGCTCATTTTAAAATGCATTTTTCCAAAGAGAAAATGCAATTACAGGAAGGTTTTTGAAAGTCATCTGCATACCCGGCTTCTCCTTTCCAGAAACCTTAAACAAAACAGATGTACTCATGAAGAGGACAGTTAATTGTATGTCAACTTTTGAAAAGCTTCCTGGGAGTTACTTGCTTCAAAGTTAGGCTCCTGAGTTTGGCAGTCCCAAGTGGGGAGTCTTTTCCTAATGGCTGTCAAAGGAAAAAATATATCATCAGAGTTTGAACCAGAACTAAAATACAGTAACCAAAAGTAGCTTCAAAAAACAAAAGGTCTGCACCCATGATAGCTCCCAGAAATTAGATACAGGAAGATTAAAAAACCTGGTAAGCATGTATTTTACCCATTGAAATATTCGACAATTTGAAATGCACCTACTTCAGTGATGGCACTGTATATAAATTTATCGCAGCAGGTCAGCTCCTAACAGTTGACTTCTGTGCAGGAAGGATAAAGCTACCCCAAAAGATCAGTCAGCAACACGATCTATAAACTGACTGCTATTAGATAATAACTTCTTTTAACTTCTTTTTCCCCATTAGCCACATATTACTCTACCCATGTTGGAAACTGTAAATAGCGAAACCATCATAACAGTATCCAGGCTAACTGCAGCGGTGAAAGACAACACAAGAGTTTGTTTTAAGCTTTCCAATATTTGAACTTCAAATACTTTAAAAAGTAAGGAGATACTTACATCCTCAGAATCCTCTGCGTGGCTTTGTTGTCTTTTATATGGACTTATCTGCTGCGAATTACCCATGCGCTCTTTACTTAGATCTGCTGATCCTTCTAGCTGAATCCTGTCAGTTCCAGGTTCAGGTGGGTCAGGAACATCTTGAGTTAAAGAAACAGGCTGAGTCCCAGGCTCTGGTCCTCGCCAGCTCTTTGTCAGAGGAGATGATGTTTGTGTCAGACAGTTGTTTGTATTTGCAATTGCCTCTCTCAAAAACCTCTGTAAGCGAGTTTTTCTGGGAAAGTTATTGTTAGTGACTGCTTTCCTGAGGTGCATCTCTTCAGCAATAACGTAGACACGGCAGCGTCCTCTGGTCACAGCTGTGTACACATGCTGCCAGTGCTGACGGCCCGGATTGCCAACCACATAGACAACTGTTTTTTCCTCAGAACCCTGAAATAAGAACACCTTAGCAAATGAACGTCTCAAGGAATTAAAAAAACAAAAAGGATAGCTTCCAACAATGGGGAACTTGGAGAGATTTATCCTGCATTCAAAGAATTTCAGCTGCTTTGAGACTTTCAAGTGAAAATTAAGTGCTTTGCCAAGAAAAAAAGCATGAGAAAGTTTTTACCACCTGATAGCTTTGTTTTGCTTTGTTTTTTTACCTGAAATGTGTGAATAGTTCTGGCCCATGCATGTTTTATATGACAGAGCTTCTTCAGAGCCTTATAGTTCACAGTGTACGTGGAGCCATATGTGCTGCTGATGGTCAATAAGCGCTGCTTATTAATTTCTACATCCTAAAGAAATAGCATAAGAACACTCAGTTGGTAAGCTTGCATTATCAGTTAGATCACAGAATCATAGAATCATAGAATGGTCTGGGTTGAAAAGGACCACAACGATCATCAAGTTTCAACCTCCCTGCTATGTGCAGGTCACCAACCACCAGACCAGGCTGCCCAGAGCCACATCCAGCCTGGCCTTGAATGCCACCAGGGATGGGGCATCTACAGCCTCCTTGGGCAACCTTCCAATGTGTCACCACCCTCTGTGTGAAAAACTTCCTCCTAATATCTAACCTAAACCTCCCCTGTATCAGTTTAAACCATTCCCCCTTGTCCTATCACTATCCATCCTCATAAAAAGTCATTCTCTCTCCTGTTTATATGCTCCCTTCAAATATTGGAAGGCCACAATGAGGTCTCCCCCAAACCTTCTCTTCTCCAAGCTAAATAAGCCCAGTTCCCTCAACCTTTCTTCATAGGAGAAGTGCTCTATCCCTCTGATCATCTCGTTCAACTTCTGTATCTCTGTGTGTGTCTGTAGTCTGTATTTTTCCAAAACTAAGGTAGCTGCAATGTCAACCAAATGAAACAGTTTCAGAAGACACTAAGCCCAAAGATCACTATCTTCTACTGACCACGTTCAAGGAAAATACTTGCACTGTACAGGCCTACCCTGAGTCTACTTAGTGCAAAATAAAATCCAATAAATGAAGTTTTAATACCCAGAAAACTAAGATTATCCCAGGACAATATGAAATGTTACCAGTAAGCCCACTTAAGCATTTGCTATCAGAAATGGAGACAAGCTTGCTCTCTTCCACCAACCCTGCACAGTCCTTGCTTCCCATGCACAAATACGGATGCTTCCAGTGGATCTTTTGCTGAGTCAACTCACTCAACCCAGGAGAAAAACACATGGGTTTTGTGTTAGTGTGTTTATTTGGCAGCTTAGTTTTCTGCTGCAACAATAGCCTTATTCTTTACCTAAAACTGTTCCTACCTACATCAAGAGGACTGCATTTCATTTACAATGCATTCACAATGTGTATTTATAGAATTTAGGACAAAAAATGAACTCACAGTGCTGAACAAGAGAAACCAACTGAAAAACATTTTACAAAAATGACAGAGATACTTCTGCAGTTCCATTGCAAGTCTGCCTCTTTCTTGTAAGAGGGTAACATTTCACAACAGTTTATCAGGACCATCAGTTATCTGTTATAGACTAAACTTTTCACATAAAAATTGCACTGCTCTAGGGACGCAAAAAGGACTGGATCGGTTACCATTATTTATTTGCAAACGTTCCTACAGAAACAACTTACATGTGTTATGAAAAATATATCTCCATTGCACAGTCGTTTGCCCTCCTCAGTAGTCTCTGTACTGAGGGTGGTTTCTCCGTTTCTGCATTTCTGGTGATCAGGATTCCGTCCAATACCAGGGTCTGGTAAGAGATCCTTGAGGTACGTATTTCTTGTGCAGGAAATCTTGTCATCAATTTGAAATAAAAGTCGTCTTTTATGGTCTCTAGGTCAGAGAAAGAAAAAGTGAGATGTATTTACTACATATGTGTTTATCATCAGTCGGTATTTCCACTCTTTCTCCTCTCTGTACCTGAGTCAGAATACAGATCTGACTTATATTCAAAACAGTGAAGACAACTCACATCTAAAAGGTGTTTCTCAAACTTCTTTCAAACAAACAAAGAAACAAACACCAAAATGCTGCTCCCAAATCAATACATTTCAGTATTGATTTAGAAATAACACAAAGAATAATAAACCTTTTTTTCAGAGTTCTTTTTATGTCAATTTTATCTGCTTAACAATCATTCAAAATCTTGGAAGTCACTGGCAATTAAAACAGAAGGCAAACAATTTATCTTCTCCCTTTTCAAAGTCCAGGACGAAAATTAAAAGACTTATCAAAGAAATATAATGACCTCTACCATAAATAATCAGGTCTAGAGGCAAACAAAAACATTTAAAATGTTTCAGAATTTTCTTTTAGGTTGTGGCCTGTTGTGACACAAAAACAAAGTGAGATTCTGCAAGGTGAAAACTGCCAAGCAGTGGCTTACCTGGTTAAATGGTTTGAATAGTGTTGGCAGCAAAGTTCATTTATTAGATCACAGTCTTGTCTACCATGCAAAACAAGAACATGGAAAAATCAGGATGTACTTAAAGGATAGGAAACATGAAACAATTACATGCAATGCCACGTTAACATTATAATTAAAAAGCAATGGACAAAGTCCATCTCAGCTGTGACAATCTTCCAACATCAACTGAAAACAATCACTGATTCAGAGTTTGAAGATAAAGTAGTAACAATACAGTTTCTTCCAAATTAAAAAAAGTGATGTATTTTAATGCATACCTAGATTAGCATGATTTACTGTTGAGATCAAACTGAAGAAAAACTAAAGCCTAGGTAAAATATTTTTGGTGGTGGGTGTATTATAGCTAGCCAGAAGATTTGCTCATTTTATATATTTGCTTTTTAGAGACCTGGAATTTTAACTTTTAAATGCAGATTAAGTACTTAAAAATATATTATAGAAGAATCATTAATAATAGTCTCCTACTTGCATGCAGACTGGAGAGATACAACCGATTTCAGAGTTATTCGACGTTGACAACAAAGAGGTGAACTAGCTGAAATGCTCAAATCAGTTTATTTGCACACTAGCAACCTGCAAATAGTATTTTTAATTGCTGAGAAAAGGTACTTCATGAATAAAAATAAAAGAACACTGCCTTGTTGCCAGCATCACAGCCAGGGTCTCATAGGATCCACTGCAAAACGTCATTGCTTATGTCTGTCCTTCTGACAAACATAAAAGCAAAAAGTGTGGTGTAAAAAATGTGAAGCTTATAGGAAAATCTAGCAGATCTCCATGAAGAGACTGGGGACAACCAGGAGCTTAAGAAAAGACACCCAGTCTGTTTTTCCAACACTTTCTATGACATTACTCTTTCCAGCTCAACACATTCAGCTATTTTTAGATTGTGGCTTCTAGCAAGGATTTTTCACTGTTTGCCTATGTGCCCATTTACCTTCTGAAAGCAATGAACTGGGACTGTGTGGCATCCTGCAATCCTGGTCCTTCTTTAAGTAAAGCCTTTATGGCACCTTGCAAATCTGATTTAGAAGACATCAAAGATAAAGATGAAGAACAAACAATTTAAGAAAGAAAAACATAATTCAGTACGAAATTGCCTTTGCTCATTTCTTGTTTCAGCACCATTTCTACTTGTTTGAATGCACAATGTTTAAATTGTATTTACATACACTTACACACACACACATCTTCTCAAAAAGCATCACATAGTTATCCCATTACAAAAAAATGGGAGACAGGAGTGACACAAGAGATAAAATCTTATTCCTCTAGTAAGAAGTTGCATAGATGGTATTTCATGCAAAATCAGGTTTTTATTCAGTGCATAAGAGAGGTGCAGATAGAACATCTTAAAACCAGAGCACTATAGATTTCAGTTTCACAAAAGAAATCTATGTTTAGTTTAGTACTCTGTTAGCTAAGTGACTAGAGCAAGATGAGGTGATAAGATTCTCACTTTTTTTTTTTCCAAATTGCAAACTGATAATTTTTTATCTGTATAAGTGGAGGGCCTTCATGCCTCTTATCCAATAAGGGTCAGTGTGGAAGCTGCATTACACCCAATTTGAAACCCAACTGGTGAACTGGAGCTCTACAGCACATCCTTTGCACCTATGAGTTTTGCCGTGTGCACTTACAGAAGGCAAATTTTAAAGTATGAATCTAGCATTTACACCATACACAAAGCTAAACAAGACTAAAATCTCCCAAAAACATTCATTCCAGCCTAACAGTCAATGTTTTACCAAAGGGAAAGTCAAGATCACAAACAGAATGTACACACGTACTATCAGAACCCCCATCAGAAGGCAAAGCAATAAAAATGAATTTCTTCTCAGGGCTTGGCATTGCCAGCTCTTTATTCCAACCAGAAAATTTCAGCACCTCATCAAATTCAGGAAGCTTTCGGAGAGAGATTCTGGACCACAGAAAGGAGGGAAAACAGAAAAGAAATATTATTTCCAGTTGAAGTATTCCACTGGCCTGAAGTTCATCATTTATAAATTTTAGCTCATATACCATACAATACATAGTGACATGGAATAAATCCTAATACATGCAGCACATATGGATATACATACTAATTTTGAATAAGAAACTGTAACAGAAACAGTGCTACAGATTCTTGAGGCACTTGAGTGCAGGTAAAGGACCAGCTCTACTACAAGAAAGCTTACATCCATAAGGAAATCCTACCTTGTTGCATTATCTACAATGAGTTGGGATTCAGCTCTGTGATTAGTTCGCAGTTCCACAGAAAGGCCTTTTGATTTTAAACTATTAAAGATATCAGCTAGCATGTTGCCAGGGTCAATGCTTGGTAGCTGCCTCGTATCACCTAAACAGAACCTGAATTAGTATTTGTGAGGAATAAAAACAGAACATCTACAAAACCATCAAACAAGCAACAATAAACAGAAAAAAACCCCATGGTATTGGAAAGAAACAACCAGAGAAGCACTCAAATACTCAACCCTCAACATAGTGGGACACTTAGGAATCCAAGTGTCCTCAGTGCAATTCACATGAAATGAATCTAAGAACCTCATGTCTGGGGAATCAGACTGTGGTGTAATTTAAACCTTACATTTTCCCCATTCAGCAATGCCAAAGGAGCACGTGCAACTTGCTTTGATTATGACCATGATAACATCTTGTCCAGACACATTTTGAAAGTTACCTATTTAAAAATGATCACCAAAAAAAGCACTGTAAGAAAGAAGAAAATTGTCATTTTATACTTGTTTTCCTTCTGAATCAAAACAAACTGATGCTAGTATTAAGGACCCTATGGAACTTGTCTCCTAATACCTGATTCCTACTGTCTTCTTTAAATTCTTTAAATTCTCTACAATTCTTGCAGCCTGTTGCAAGGTGTGATAAGCCACCACATGGAAGTCACAATACTTTCAGAATCAGACAAAACACTGCTAAACAGATAACAGAGACACCAATCCTTTCATACTGACAGTTGAGTTGGAAAACTGTTGGAGTCTGATTGTTCTAACTTGACTTCATGCATGAGCAGAAATAGCAAAGGAGAGAACAGGGTAACCTGCTGGGCTTTTAAAGAGTCAGCGAGATTAGTTTTAGCTCTGATATTTCTACTATATTTTGTACATTATTAACTATTGTCTATTCCTAATTGTTTATTTTTTCCACTTACCTAGAATAATAAGTTTGGCAAGCTGAGCATGCTCACATAAGAGTTTTAAAACTAAGCTAAGAATGTGTACAGACACCAAGCTTCCTTCATCCACAATCAGAACTGTCACAGTAGAAAACTTCCATGGCACTTCTTTTTCAGTCTGCCTCCATGATTTAAAACTATAGATGATCTAGAAACAAATTGAAATAAATCATGCTCTGGCACTAATCAGCTGTGAACTGTCTTATAAAGATAGCCATAGTGTGGTATATTCTAATCTTGTAATCAGAGCTACTGCCTTCAGTTCTGAAATGAACTTTTTGGTAGCTGTTGTGACCTTGGGCAACAGAGACTTAAATTTATTAACAAACAGTTGGCTTTCTAAAAAATAAAAATAAAGTTTTACAGTACATGTCTGTAGGTAGGAAAACAGTGTAAATGAAATTCATCTCATCATCCAACCCCAGGCTACTCATCTCCTCACATATGTGCAGGTATTAATAGGATTCCTATGCAATTGGGAAACAGCTTTGCCAGCTAAGGAGGTATTTCTGTTCTTACATCTGAAACAGAATATAAAATTGCATTAAAAAACGAGGAGCTAAAAAGACCAGATATCCTAGAAAGGTATATATTTGATATATATGTAAAAGTGAAAAAAGTTACAGCAAAGAATGTATTCCAAATGCCTCATTTATGATTTCCCAAAATGTTATGCTGATTTTCAGATGCTGGCCAGCTGTACCTAAGCATTATCACTAATAGCTAAAAACTCCTAAGAAAACTTCAGTAAAAAGCTTTCTTCCAAAGCAAGAATCAACAGTGTCAATAGGTCTTTTGTGACATTGTTAAAAAAGAGGAAAAGATCCTCACCTGATGCAGAGTGTATGCAGGAAGCTTGGTTTTCTCACTCAAAAGGCTTGCTGCCCTCCCTGTGGGTGCAGTAAATAGAACATTTAAGGGATTTTTTGTGCAAGTGTTCTCTGACTCCCAGTGACGATCAAAAGTATCCCACTCCTCAGACACGTCCAGGTCTTCTTCAAAGTCCTTGGAAGCAGCTTCCACTTCTTTTTCTATCTGCTTTAAGTGCCGAAAAAGGCAGCTAACAATTGTACTTTTGCCACAGCCTCCTTTCCCACTTATGATTGTGACAGGATTAGAACAAATCTTTTGTATAGCAATCACCTGATCTAGGTCTACCTCTGCTTTACTTTGGGTACCAGATGTAGATGCCACTTCCCTTTCAGGGAACTGATATTCACAGTGATGATTGTCTGGGTTATCTTCCTTCAGATGTTCCACTTCATGATCCTGGATACCACTCGTTTTACTGTCTGCAATTTCTCTTGACATCTCAGAAGCGTTAAGGATCTTTCTCACATCAACATCTATTTGCCAGGAGCATTTTGACAGAAGATCACCTATATACATCGCAATGTCTTTTTCAGATTTGTAAAGATGAGGCAGAAACACCAGTGTCTTCTCCCTAATCACTATATTCTCATCTTTCAGAAATTCCAGAGATTGCCAAGCACCCTCAATGGACATATCTTCAGATACAAAACGAGTTAATTCATTCTGATCTTCGTAAGTGTGTCCCATTTCTCTGCAGTGTTTCTTCAGTTTATTATACAGAATCAAAGCATTCTTCTGCAAGTCAGGAATCTTCCGGAGGAGGTGCTCACACTGACAGAAGGCATCCCACGTTGCCTCACAGTAAGAAAGTTTCAGTTCCCTATAAGTAATCTTCTCCCCCAAAAGAATCAAAGCAAACATTTATTTCAGATATATTATTTTCACTCTTGCTGATTAACATTCCTCTGAGTATAGGAAATTTGCAAAATAATCAAAGCAGGCATCAGTAAAACCTCTTGGTGGAAAGGATATGACACACTGAAATAGAGTGGATAGGTAGCTGAGTCTCTGAAACTGGAGGTTTCTAGAGACAAGTCAGAACAGATGTCAGTAAAAGCACTGTGGGGCTGAAGCAGAGATTAATGAGTCATATTTGTTAACTATTCAGCTTTAGTTCACATCTAAAGTAGGTGTGCACTAAGGCAAGGTGAAGCAGCAAAGTTGCACAACCAGTGCAGTTGGTGTCAGTATAGGAAACCAAGAAGGTAAGAAGTGACCACAAGTCCCATAATATTAAAAAGAAGAATACCACAAACCAGACGATCTCTCGAAGTGTAACTTATCTACCTTTGCTATGAAAGCATGGTCTTGTTCTATGCATTAGGAACAGACAAACTCCACTTGCTGGTATAAATTTGGAAAGCAGATTTGTGAATTTTAAATTGTTCTTAAAGTTCTTGCTTTTGGCCCGATTACCTCAAGTATTTAATTTTCTATTTCCTATTGGAAAGACTAAGCAAAACACTGCAACATAACCAATTTTAAAATCTTTTCAGATTGATTAACCACAGAACAACTGAAAAAAAAAGAAAAATTGCTAAAACTGAGCACAGTAAATCATGCAGTTCAAAATGAACTAAGCTTACCTCCCAGAAATGTCCAGCTAATAAACTGAACATCATCAAAAAGGTGCTGTGTTCTGAGGAAGACAAAATGTAACAAACACCACATTTTTTACCCTTCTTAACATTACTTACCCTGCTGAATCCAAGTTTCCATGGCTCGTTTTTTAATATTTCATCCAACTTTTTTAGTATGTCATCTTCAAAATGTACCGCCTCACCATCCATATCATTTTCAGTCTTTCTTTGCCAGCACACCGTATCCAAAAGAGAGCAAAAATGGCGTGGCAGAAGAGTAGGCAAGAATTCCAGTATCATCGGGTAAGTCAGGGCTACCAACACTGCCTTCCCTGCAACTGTAGGCACGATAAACCATAAATTTGGAGCAATATCCAAAAATATTTGGAAAGATAGATTAAACTGACTCTGGCTTTTATCCTTTTGCTTCCCACATATCCAAAGCATCTCTAATTTCTTGCAGTTTCTCACTCTTTGTAAACCTTTTCAAATTCTTTTTTTAAGTCTGTTCTCTCTGAACTGCTTTTGGAAAAAAAGTGAACAGATAAAAACTACAGCTCAATGTACTCGTTTGGAAAATGCACATCATACATTTGGTTTAAACTGCGTGCTCAATGGCATCTTGTAGAAAGTCCTTTCAGACCTCATTGGGCAATTTTCATACATGTGTACAGAAGAATGTTTAAAATCCAAAACAAGAAAACAGGCTTCTAAATCTGTAATATCAGATCAGCACAGAAATTTAGGAATGCTAGTGGGGAGAGCCAGTGGGGAACAGTTTTCTCAATGACCCCAAACTTAAGTTATCACTTCATGGCTTGAAGAATGAAGTACAATAGTAGCAACACTACCTATGGAGTGGGGCAGTAGTTGTTTCTGTTGCCCAAATATAGAGAAACAATAAAGTTTAATTAGTAACAAAATAATTTAAGTTGGATATTAGGGAAAAATCTGCCAACTGCAAAAACAGAGAGCAGCATACTTATGCTCACTGTGCAATCTTTTTCACAAGTAAGTACCAACATATTAAACAATCAGAAGTGATCCATATATCCCATGACAATTCATGCAGAGTTCTAGATCAGAGTTCTATGATCAGAAACTAGATCAGAGCTCCAATCAGTACATGGGCCAGTCTCTTCAAGGTCATGGAAAGATGTGAAGTCTGTAAGCAGTGCTAAGAACTTGTCTACCACCACAAAAATAGGATAAAAAGTCCACAGAATTGTGAAAACTGTCCTCTCCTTACATACATGATTTGGAGGAAAGTCAGCTCGGGCCTAACAGAAGCTATGAACTCTCCTATCTGACATGACCTGACCTCCAGAACTGTAACCTCCAACTTGTGGTCCACAAACTAAGTAAGTAGTGGAAGACTTCATTTATAGTCTGGTCCCACACTGAATGCCTGTCAGTGGTTTGAATATTTTATGTATGCAGCCAGAACACTTAAATTGAATCACAGTATCAGTGAGAACTGTAGATGCTTGCTTCAGAAGCACACTACTGATTCAGTCACTACCACTTGTACGCTCACAACAACATCGTTCCCACCAGCATCCTCAGTAGGCCTGAAATGTCTCCATGTGGAGACACTCCAGTGTTTCCTCACTTTGCTCCCCTGATGGGGAAGCTGCTGATGGGAAGAGTTCAAATTCAACCATTCACTTGTAAAACTTTCAAAATACCACATGATATACCTACCTGATTTCCAAACATAGTATAAGATATCAAAATCCTTGGTGTCTCCTTGTTTCTTCCCTGTTGATAAATGTGCAACTTGGAATTGTTTTAGTTTTTCTTCAAGATTTCCAAAACTTAGCGTAGACTTTGCAGGTAGCCAGGAAAAAAACAAATTCTTAAAATACTCTGGAACTCCACATTCCTTGAGAAAGAGTGAGAAGACTTCTCGGTTGTTGTCTTCTATATTAGTTCGAAGAAAATAGGATGGATATCCCTGAACGAAATACTTTGAGCCTCCTTTTTTAACTTTAACATTAACTGTCCACCAGGGGCCAACTAATGGAAAACGTCCAACTACTTCATATTCCTTTTTGGAGCTCTCTTGTATAATAGCTGAAACATTAAAAAGAAAAATAAATCCACTATTACTGCTAGCCATAAAAAATAAAAGTTTACTTCAGTTGGAAGAGTTTTGGTTATCATTGAACATCTTGGCTTGGAAGGGACCTCAAACATCTACTTCCAACCCCCTGCTGCATGCAAGTTAGCCACCCACTAAATCAGACACTAAATCAGGCTGTCCAGGAAGATTATTTTTACCTTTTGTACAATAAATTACAGTAATAAAAGGAAAGAAGCACAGGTTTTCATGATAATCCTAATGTCAGTCTTGTCGGTAGTATTTAAAAATGAAATTACAACCAACCTGAGAAACAAGTACTAAAACGGCTTCTCTAGGTGTGAGAACTACAAAATTAAGTGTGGAATATTTTTCTAATCAGTTACAGATGTTAACATATAGTTTAACATCTAGCTTATACCATATATACCAAGATAGTTTGAAATTCTGGACAAGCTTGTCACAAAACACTGTATAGCAACAGGACTAGAGGGAATGGCCTCAAGTTGTTCCAGGGGAGATTCAGGTTGGATGTTAGGAAATGCTTCTCTGATAGAGCAGTCAGGTGCTGTAATGGGCTGCTCGGAGAGATGGTGGAGTCACCAACCCTGGAGGTGTTCAAGAAACTCTTAGACGTTGTACCAAGGGATGTGGTTTAGTGGGAAATACTGGTGGTAGATGGATGGTGGGATGGGGTGATCTTGGAGGTCTTTTCCAACCTTGGTGATGCTATGATTCTATGATTCTACATACCACAATGCCTGCATGCTCTCTGCATGTATTTGTATGCCAAATACTTCCTGCATGTGAACCAACCAAAATGCATGCAACCACCAGCTTAAAACAACTGTGGCAATTCTTCACCACTTGGTGCGCTGCTCTTTCCACCCTCACCCCCTCAGCAGGAGCTCTTCCTCGCTCAGTGCACCATCAGATCTCGACTCTACGACAACTTTTCCATTTATTTCCCCCCGCTGCTGCTCAGAAGAATTTAGCAACGTTTCGAACAGTTTAGGAATAAAAAATTCTAATGGGAAGGAGTTGCTCTGACGTCCACCTGTAACGAGGAGCAACCTAAGGCCAACTATCATTAGTCATGCTGGGGAGGCTCTGGGCATGCCATGGAGTGCAGGTGTCCCCGCTCACTGCAGGGCGGTCGATGGCCTTTATGGGTCCCTTCCGACTCAAACGATCCTATCATCACTCTTCCACGTCATTACGGCAATTAATTAATTGGCTGTTATGTGCAGCACGGGCCCACACGAGTGCAGAAGGCACTGCACCTCCTTACGAAATGAGAAACTGGGGAAGGACAGTGAGCCTGGAAGGGCTGTCTGTCAGATTCTACGTTATAAATAACAACCGCGACAAAGCCCGGCCCAAGCAGCGGGGCAGCCCGCGCTGGCTCCGCGCCGCCGCCATGCCGGAGCAGGGCCCGCCGCTCCCTCGCCCAGCGCTCCGAGCCGGGCAGCCCGGCGCGCCCGCTCCCGCTTCCCCTCACCGGCTCGGCGCGGGGGCAGGGCGGCCGCCAACTCCCTCCCGGAAGCCTCCAGCAGCGCGGCCTCCGCCAAGTGCGGCTCCTCCTCGATCTCTTCGTCCTCCTCGTCCTCCGAGCCCTCGGCCGCCCGCCGCGGCGGCAGCAGCACCCCCCACAGCTCCGCCACAGCCCCGCGCCCCGTGCCGGCCATGTCGCGCCGCGGAGAGGAACGGGGCGGGGACGGCGGGCGGCCCCGCTCCCCTCCCTGCGGCGGAGGAACTCGCGGAACCGCCGGGTCTTCAGCTGGGATTTCCACCGTATCCGATACATTTCACCTCGCTGCACCCCGCAGGGCAATGTTTTGCGTAACCGATGTGCGAGTTTTCCATGAGATCCTCGCTTAAAGCCACCTGCGCGTCCCTGTGGTGCAGCCCGGGTTACATGGCGGCTCAGGCTTCGCTTTCACTTTTAATCTTTGTGTTGTCTGAAGCTTTGCCGAAGAGCAGCTCCATGGCTCGTTGCATATCGTGGAGGAAAATCGCGAGCCGTAACACGTTCACCATCGATCTCACAGAACCACAGAGTCACAGGGACCTCAAGACATTATCGAATCCATCCCTCTGCTAAAGCACGGTCCCTGCAAGAGGTCACACAGGTACACGTCCAGCTGACACCCGCAAGAAATCCTCCTATGCCCTGCTGGAAGCAGCCGGTGTATGATGTTCTAAACAAATTATCACTACTTACTCGTTAATATGTTTATTTGTGCTAGGTTATTATGTAGCACACCTTCTTTAACAAGAGCCCCATCCTCTCACTTCTGCCTGCTCACCTCTTTCAGTGAATAGGTGTTTTCATCAAAGAGTTACATTGAGTTTGCTTAATACAGTGGTTTGGAACCAGCACAACCAGCCAACGAGCTCCTCGCTTTCTTCCTCTGTACAAAATGGAGGAGCCTCCAGCTCCATCATCTGTGGTTCTCTGCCTCTTCCCCATTTCTGGAAACGCTGCCTATGTTACTGTGCCAAATGCTGTCTAAGAAAAGAAAGAGATCTGTAAATACGACTTAAGATTTTGAAAACCAGCAGCAAATTGTACGAAAGTTGTCTTGAAATAGTCCTTTCTGATTCCTGTCCAACTCAACTTTAAACAATAGCATTCTTTTTCCAGCCTAAATTCACAGGTAATGAAATAACTCCATTATTTGGCAAGCTGAGAAAAAGTGACCTATGGAAGGGGGTCAGGACAGTGACATTCAAGTTTGTTTAAACAGTTCTAAGCATTAGCTCAGGGAAGTGCTTAGCAGTGTTATACAGTGATACATTGGTACTGGTGGTTTAAAATACTTCTTTCCTGTGAAAAAACATTCAGCTCTGTGTTTGTGAAAGTGAAACTGCATGTCTGAGTGCCCTGACTAATGGAAATACCATTACCCAGCTTTGGATATGTCAGCCTTGATTTTTGAAACCGTAACTATTTGTTGCTTAGGTGAAATAAGATCAATTTTGCAAAGCGCTGAGAATCAAAGGATCTTTTGGAAAATCTGGGAGAAAATGATTTTGTTCATCGACATGGTGAAGGTTCACATCTGCTTGGTTCTCATTCCTCCCCTTACTCAATACTGCTACCCATGCAGTAAAAGACAGAAACTAAAGTAAAACCTTTATTTTATGAACTCAATGGTCTAAGAAGGATTTCACTCCAGAAAGTCATATTGTAAGACTGAAAAATATAAAAATAGATGAGCAGTTGTATAGATGTAGACATTTACAGGTATGTGCATTTGGCAATAAAAACCAGGTGAATGTAAGACCAGGAAATTCAGTCAAAAATTGCTCTGTCATGAAGGTTTTAAATCATAGTTTGAAAAATACTTTGAAATCTTAGATCAGCTTTGGGTCTGGCTATCCCTCCATCATGTCTCACTTTAAATTCTACTCCAAAAGCCAAGAATGTATAGTAAAAGGAAAGCACGTTTTGACAGCCCTATGAGTTTACCTCCTAATGCACTGTAATACCACTGCCGTGATAATTCATGACTCTCAGAGCATAATCTGACATGACACTAAAGAGGTTATTACTCTTCCGTCCATGGGGAAAGATCTATTTATAAATTCAAACTCAATATTGCTGCGTTCAGCAGGAAAAAATCCAAAGCCCCAGAACAGCCACAAGAACAAGGAGACACCATTGTGCTGCCCCTTCCTACTTCATGTTCTGACATACAGTAGCAAGTTCTCCCTTAATCAAAAGAATGCACATATAAATCCTCATCCTTTAAATAGGTAATGAAATTCCACTCTGAAAATGATTTTCAGAACATTCTGGTAGGTGCCATTCATACCATTTATATAGAATGGCTTAGGTTGGAGAGTAGTCCAACGCCCCTGCCATAGGCAGGGTTGTCAGTCGCTGGATCAGGCTGCCCAGTGACCTTTGAATGCCTCCAGAGATAGGGCATCCTTTAACCTCTCTGTGCAATCTGTTTCAGTGTGTCGCCACCCTCTGAATAAAAAATTTATTCCTGACATCTAACCTTAATCTCTCCTCATTTAGTTTGGAGCCATCCCCCATATCCTCTCACTATCAGACTGTGTAAAAAGTCGATCCTCCTCCTGCTTGAAGTTCCGAGGGAACCCCATCTCACCTCTGGATGCCAATTCCAAAAGGCATATGCTTTCCTTAGACTCTCTATTTTGTTTGCCAACTTAACTTGGAAACACTCTCCGCAATTTGAGACATGATTAGGCACCTAACTACAGGCAAATGAGTTGAGCCCTGGTACTTGATATAGCATGAGCTAAATCACTCACCAGAAGCTACTGACTATGTTGACTGTGGAGGTCTTTCTGCCACTCTGAGTTAGGTTTCTAAGGTTCTATTTAGCTGATGCAGTGTGTACTGAATGTTTTTGTTAATGCCAGTGTCTGGAATCAAGTGAGAACACTTCCTAAGTGTTTACCATCCAGAAGCATCTGCAAGATTTCACATGAAAGAATGTGGTGTGTGAAATTAGGAGGGAGGAGGAGCAGAGAGAGGTTTGAACTTTCGTTCCTCTTGGGATGGAAGGGTTTCATTTTTTCCCCACTGTTTTGTCAGAATGCCATAGAGGAAATATCCCTACATCAATATTTTTGAGGAAGGGCAATTAGAGACAGCAGAACAGCTGCCTTTTGAGATGCTGATTTGAGTGCTCCACCAGCACTGAGTCATCCATGCTTTTAGTAATGAGCTCCCTGGAAGACAACATGAATCCCAGAAGTTGTCAGCTACTATTATCATGATCTAACTGTAGGGTGGTGATTTTGGGACTCAGGGCTCCCTTAAACAGATGCCAACGTACAGGAGTTTCTGGAGGATGGTAGCTAGTAGGAAGTGGCTGTTAGCTTTCTGCAGATAAATTAAAGTTGCTAATTAGCGGACTTTCTCATGTGAATTCTCTTCACAACTGGATAATATTTCTATAGATAATGCCACAGACATTGTTCTATTTCACAGACAAGGAAATTCAGAAGATGTCAAAAAAGTCCACAAATGAGATATATTTGTCTCACAGGCTGTGTTATGAATTGAGGTAGCAGGGCTTGAGTCATACGTAACATCAGGGGAAAAAATAGGGCTGTTAAAAGAATTTTGTATTACAGCATGCTTAATTATTATATAAAAAAGAGGCTTTCAGAAAACTTGAGGACTGTAGGATAGATCCTGTTGCCCAGGTCAGATACAGTGTTTTGACTTGAAAATACGCCAGCATAAGCCATACCATTAATAATAGTATTCAACTTTGCTTGGAAAACATGCTTGACTCGCCAGAGCTTTAGGAAGCAAAACAAGTTCTTTACATTTAATTCAATGTGCAGGGATAGAACCAGTCCCTGTTAAAGGCTTCAGAAAAATCTAAAAATGAAAACAATCTTCTCATTGTCCAGAACACAGATAAAGCCTTGATGCCATGTGCAGACCAAATGCTTTGAAATAGATACCTTAAAATCCTGCTTTAAAAGATCTATTCCTAAAAAGTAGAGGAGAAGCAAACATGGTTAGTAATGTCATAAAGTCTCCAGTCCATTTAGTCCTCCATTTAATGCTCCATAAAGAAATCCCTTTTTAAAAGTTCAGCAATTACTATTTTTGTGCTTTGGCTTCTTTTCATAACTTTGTGCTGTCTCTCAGCATCTTCTCAGGGGGACATGAGATTTAAAATAAAAGCCAGAATCACCATATCAAGTAAAAAAGAAGAGAGGTCTCTTTCCTCTTTCTCCCTAAGGCTGCAAAATGTTGGTCACTCCTGGTACATCTGTACAGGAAGAAGGCCTCTTCACAGAATCACAGAATAGCCCAGGTTGGAAGGGACCTCAAGGATCATGAATCTCCAACCCACCCACCACATGCAGGGCCACCAACCTCCACATTTAAGATTAGACCAGGGCTTAGTAGGCTGCCCAGGGCCCCATCCAACCTGGCCTTCAGCACCTCCAGGGACGGGGCATCCACAGCCTCTCTGGGCAGCCTGTGCCAGCACCTCATCACTCTCATAGTAAAGAACTTCTTCCTACTATCCAACCTAAATCTTCCCTCATTCAACTTGAAACTATTTCCCCTTGTCTTGCCGTTATCTACCCTGTAACCTATATGTGCACTCTGTTGCAAAGCATTAAAAGCTGATACTGTTTTCTTTTTTTCTGTCTGATGGGAGAAAAAAGCCCCCTTAGCAGACAAGAAAAATTTCTGGATAGAATGGTTGTTACTGCAGACGTAAAATAAGTCTAACTATTTTTGTAATTAAATGTTTCTCTACAAAGAGTTTTGCTTGAATATACTACATACATCCAGCAGGCTTCTTGCCGTGCTTACAGGTTTGTATCTCTCATGAGAGAGTTCTGAAACTGTTATACAGTTCTCCAGGAACAGATAAAATCTCCTTCAACAGTGTTTTGTTGTGGATAATACTTTGCAGCGCTGTTTCTCTAACAGCTGTATCTTGGTAGCTTATTAAAAAAATCCACATTATCCCAGTGTGTTCCATTAATGAAAAAGCTGAAGAAAAACACAAGGAAAAGGAAAAAGCAAAAAACCCACCATCACTGAAAATGAAAGAGCAGCCTTCCTATGGAATTCAAGAAATCCCCCAGTGCTACTTGCAATGAAAGCCGGTGATAATAATGACCATGGGATAATATTTTTAGCTTTTTTTCTTGAGGGTCCTGTCACAATGAATGGTTTGGAGGAGAAATGGTTTGTGAATTGCAGAAACCTGGGTTGTTTTGTTTTGTTTTGTTTTGTTTTGTTTTGTTTTTTTGCAGGAGAATCCAAGACTGTTCATTCATGTTTGTAACATACAGAGCTATGTTGTTCTGTAATGGTATAATCATCTCTACACTTCTAGTGAACAAAACAGCAAAGATCTAGTTAACAAAATCAAATCAAAATTAAAAAAAAAAAAAAAAATGAGAGGCCTTAGAAAAGGAAATGTTTCCATCTTTTGAATAAATCATACAGAAGGATGTAAATATAAAATGTAAATATAAAAAATAGTAAAAAAAATTTTCAGCACTTATATACTTGTTCATTTTTGCTTCCTGAGACTATCTGTCTGACAACAGTGAAATATGAAAGGAGGGCATGTTTCCTTCAGGATTTCGCTAACGACTTTGTATATTCAACCCTTTAAGGTATTTTTTTGCTACTTTCCTAAGCAGAAGAGACACCCTCCTGCCAGCACTATGACTGTGTGACTGGTGGGATGTCTTACTGGGTTCTGTTTACATCATTATGTGCAACTTAACCAGCATCAGAACAGCAGCTGAAGCAGAGCTGTGCCATCACTCACACTACTCAGCTGTGTGCACTCTGGCATGTTTAGCTCTGTACAAACAAGCACCATTCCAGAAGGTGCCCAGATCCCGCATGTGTTCCCCTCCCTTCTCACAGTTTATCTTCAGGACCAGATGTTATCTTCTCTAGTTTAGAGGTAACAACTAAAGCTTCCAAAGACAAGCCATTTACCTATGCACAGTTCTGCTTTCCAGCTGTATGCCACCAAAGGCCTCTGCTCACATCAACTAAATGAAGCCTTGCCTGATACTGTGATCTGGAAAATATTTGTAGCCACTTTCCCACTGTTTAATTTTTAACTGGAACTTTTCTTGAAGGAGGACTAAATAAAAATGAGTAAAGACTTTCACAGTCTGAAGTCTGAGCCAATTTCCACAGGGTCCTTTAAGAGCTTTCCCAATTATTTTCCTTCAGCTGGGCTCCTGAGTTTAGCTATTAATCTTCCTTCATAAGTAAATCACTATTGTGCACTAACCCTTTTATGTTACTGTTCCTCTAACTTTTGTGTGCTTTCCTGGTAAAGAATTTCATGCAGTATTCTTCAGGTGGGCTTACAAGCAGAATGACCAGATGGAAATGCTAGGATTACAACTAAATACTGCTTAAATGCAAGTGTTCATCTCTTGTAGAAACAAAATTAATGAACACAAAGATCATCTTCTCACTAATTTTCCTTCTTCTAATTTCCTCCAACAGCCATTTCCAATAGGTATTCCTATTGGAAAAGCATGGTTACCAAGGTGGATTTGCAGAAAAGGAACGGGGCAGGAGCAGAGGAGAGACACTAAGAGTTCAGCATTACAGGAAAGAAGTTCACGGTTTTCTCACTCATCTTGCAACTGCTTTTATTTTGGGGTAAATAATGACAGACTACAATTCTTATGTTGTTGTGTAAGGCATTCTGATATGAAGGTCTTATGAATGAAAGAAAAGATGAGAAAAGTGGTAAAGATCTTGTTGATAGATGCTGTCAAGCAGCAATGAAAATAGTGGCCAGGAGGACTAAAAATCCACTCGGATAGAATGAAAATAAGCACTTTTCTCTGTGACAAGCTTTCATCATTAAAAAAAAACCAAACAAATAAAACCAACCAACCAACAAAAATGACTAAACACCTGGAGAATGGAAGTAGTTCTGGCAAGAGGGATATAGCTGCTCTGAACTTAATAAAATGTTCAAATGCTCATATAATACTCTGCTGGGTCATGCTTCCAGTATGCATCAGAAGATACTCCTGCAAAATGAACATACGGCAGACAGATTTCTCAACCCCCTTTTATATTTTAGAATAAGAGAGAGAAAAATAATAAGGAATAAAGCTCCCTTTGGGGTCTTCACATAGAGTGAAAATTAAGTTTTCCAGACCAAAATGCCAGAGTCATTATGAACTGGCAGAAATGCACTAAGTGTTTTGGGATTGATATAGAGCTGCAGCTAATATCCTTTTCCTTTGGAAATGTGTTTGGTCTTTAGTGATTACTGCAGGCCAGGACTTTGTCATATGTGAGAAATGACATTGTA